TCTTATTGTTGATCATTTTTTTCTGTATTTCTGTGTTACATCGAATGACTGCACAAAAGATCTTTCTTCCACTTACAATAAGAGTTAACTAAACTAACTACGATATACTTTAAAACTAAATGCCTGATCTAAAGGGTAACAAGAGGCCCTTTTTTTAGAGTACAACTTAATTAAGAAGCGTTGTAGACTTCCTAGAAAGTTTGTTTTAATAAAAAATCTTTATATAAACCAGCAAATGACAACCAACGCGGTAAGCACCGAAATAAAAGAGTATTATGTTTTCAAAGAGAAAACACAATAAACTCCTCTTAATTCCCGGAACTTCAATTTAAATATAGCCAATTTGCATTGTTGGTTCACGTTTCGGTTTCGTAAAATCCACGTGCTTTCTGCACCAATGTCAATTCTAAAATAAACAAATACGTGAATAATTCCCTAAATTTCCTTGAAATCAATGTGTGAAAGCATTTAACAAGAAAACATGACATAACTGTGAGTGATTTTATTTCGTTAAATTTTCATTTCTGATTCGTACATTTGTCTGAAAAAAAATAATTTTCATCCAAAATTTTGAATCGCTGTTTGTAAATTCGAAAGTAATTCCTTTAATTTTCTTGTTCGTAAGAGACTTATGACACAATAATGATTTTCCACAACGAAGAATCTTCGCCAGTTGACGTATATTTATTGTTTGCTGGCCAAATAAATTGGTTCCCATTTTCACGTTGATTTTTGTCCAATCTATGAACTAATTTTAACGATTTTCAAAACAACTACCATCATTATCCGCGTCGAAATATGAAAATCAAGATTTCTTCGTTGAATGAGAAGTCAATTAAACTGGTTTATATAACGGTAAATTCCAAAATAATTAGTTTCTGGAAAGAACTTGTCACCAGGCATTAGTGTTTTAAAACATATCTTACTTCCAAACGGAAACTGCCAACCTCAGTTAATGCATGGTCCAAAGAAATATTTCTAATTAAGATGACACTCCAATAAATTCTTGCCTCTTGCATGAAAAACGAATACTTCAGTTTTTTAACAAAATTTGTCAATTTTCAATTTGATACAGTTCATGCCGAGAATTAATTTTCAATTGAATCAATATATTTTTGACCAACTTAATCTCTTGGTAGCGTGTTGATGTCAATCGTGTAGTGCGATCGCCCGGGTAATAGTAATTCTGAAAAAGGGCTGTTGTTGTTACTAGTGACTGGCCTAAGCAGAAGTCAGCAGAGTCAAGTGAAGAGTTGTCTCTAAGTCAAACGTTTCAACGTTGGTTTGACTGATTGGTCAGTTTTGCAGTAAAGTGAGTGGTGGCTCTCAGACTCGAATAGCGTTCGTTGGCAAGTTTAGTTTGCTCTGTTTGGTCTGTTGGTGACCCAGTTGGTCTTTTTTTTAGTTGGGTGGTATTTGATGTCGTTTGTTGTAAGGAGTCTTTTTCTAATTCAGTGAGTCAGCCTAGTTTTCAAAGTCAGTCGTTGAACACTGTTCTAGGATTGACATCGAGTAACGTACCAGTCAATATTGGCATTTGTAGGCCGATGGTGTGGAGTAATGTGATTTTGACATAAATAATATACGCAAGATTTAACTCATCAAATGATTTCAGGTTTGAGTTTCATTTGGTCTTTGTCCGGTCGAAGTATTTTGTTAGAGTGCCACCTTAAAAAATATCACCTTTGCACGACATCAACCATGATACACCAGTGATACTAACTGTTAAGCAAACAAAGAAAATGAGCGATCAGTGATTCGAAACGATTAATTTCAGTTACAGCACTCATTGGGCTGGAGTAAATCAGTTTCCAGTGATTTCCTCGTTCGGTTTGATGTAGCGAAATCCTCCAAGATAAATTTAAGCAAATGATGGCTATTTTTTCAAATAAATCAAATGATCGCTAAGGGTGTGCCGAACAATCTGTACCACGACAAACTATTTCAAAAATGGTGGCTAATTGAGAACAATATACTTACTACGTAATCAGTTTTATCCATTCCAGTACAAGAAAATTGGCAGAAGAATTAATATTTCGTAAAATAATTAGGTAAAGAAATAGCCACCATTTTTGCTACTATTACTAAATAAATTAAAAGTTCTTATCTTTGCAGTATCCACCAAAAAATCAGTAATTTCAATGTCTTCAATTCTCTCGGCCAGAATCTTTGTTCTTTCATCCTTCAGACAACATTGCTCCTCCTGAAAGTAAAGAATGTGAATGTGATCAGGCAATGCTTACGTTCCACGAGGACGGAAACTAAGACTTAAATTCCTTAATAATTGTTTTGCACTTTAATATCAGTAAATAAAAAGTTTAAAATACTAAAAATTTTCGAAATGTTATCAACAGTGAAGCAAAGGTCACGGAGTGGAAGAGTCGTCACACCTCCACGTGGTTACTTTCAAACATAAAATGAAGTCCTCAATTGATTTAATAAGGAAAACATTTTTATTGGAGCGTTTTACCAGAAAGAGTTTTCGTTACAGGTTCTGCTTTTCTCGAAGCCAACACCCTAATTCAACGGAATTTTGAGTTGAAGAGCAGTTCAGACCTGGCCAAGCCACTGACTCGTGTTATGTCGTTGAACCGCGATGAAACGACTCTTTTAGCTCCTCGAGGGAGATTTGAGCGATGTTTTCCAGAGGGAATACTCACCTGCTGTTTTAATAACGTAGGAGTGCTCTTCCTTAAAGGTCCAGTGTCTTCTTCCTTCCAGAGTGCAACTCTACATTTAGCACAACGGACAGCACGTCTTCACTCTACGACGGACAGCGTGGTTTGCAGAAAATTTCACAAGTCCTGATGAATATGGATGAACAACTGCAGCTAATAATCGGCCGCTACGTCACAGATTTTGCGTGAAGTTTTGTTTTCACGCTTAGCCAGCTTATCAAGAATCAAGCTAAATGAAAGGCACTGTGAGTGAGGACTGAATTCGCATGTTACAAGAGGAAAAAATTCTCTGCAACTATCAGGAGACCAAGAAATTACTCTGACACTGGAAAAGGACTGGATAACAAAAAACTATAAACGTCCAAAACACTGAGCTCTGTTAAAATAAAAGTTTGGTTGTAAGGAATTAATTCAGCTTTGATTACTTGGTATTACATTCAACTAGGCTTACTGAGTTACAGGGATGAAACATTTGGAGAATACACAGAAAGTGTCGGCACACTTGACATACTCATAACTTTATTTAACAGGAATGGAAACAGAGGTATACAGAATTATTATATTCTAAAATTATACGAATATCTAGATGGAAAGAATAGAAGTAAAACCAATTCATAGGAAAATGGAAACCAGTGTGACAGAGGAAAAGTCTGATAAAAAATTTGCTTCTAGGAAACAGAATATCATACAATAAACGTGTATGTACGTTTATTTCAATGTCGCGAATTGATGGAATCGAATGTGAAGGGTTAGCCAAATTTGCCAAAGTCTATCACTTTATATTTTTATTTTTTGAACGATTTGTAAGTTAGTTGCATATTATATTTTCTTTATTCTTGGTGTTTTACTTGGCAAATAAATCGAGATTTATCCTTGTCCAATTGTAAACAAAGCGGTTAATAACTTGCAATAGTGGCAAGGTTGCGCCAGCTGTTATCGAAAAAGCCTTCTTTAGTAGCTTTTACAAAGCTAAAAAGGAAAAGCTTCAGTTTCCTCTCAAGACTAAGACAAGGAAAGCTACCCTGTAACCTCTTTATACCCTAACATCAGTGTGCATATTTTCTATACTATTTTATATAATAAGCTCAGTTATGCACGCGTTTTGATTGGTTCTCACTTATGATCTATTGGAGGACAGACGTATAGATGACGTCATTAAAACTTTTTTTTAATTCTTTATTATATAAAACAAATAGATTCCAAGTTGCCGTGCGTCTGTTTAGTAATAGATCACAGAGGACGTCAAAATGTGGTAAGAACATCAGTGTCACACTCGGCTGCGCCTTGTGTGCCACTTTTTTGTTCTTACCACATTTTGACGTCATCTGTGATCTATTACTGAACAGACGCACGGCAACTTGGAATCTATTGGTTAATTCTTAAAGTGCTGACGAGGACAATTTGTTTAACAAGCCATAGCTTCTTTAGTTGATGATCATTTTCTATTTTCTCATTACCTTAATGTACGATTCAGAGATTATATTGTAGGGAGAAGTTAGACACTGGTCACTCTCAGGGGTTAAAAAGGTTAAAGCAAAAGAAGGCTGATTTCTTTCTTATCACAGCTAAGTATATCCTGTATGAAACGAAAACTTATCCCTAGAAAGAAAAGAAGGAAAGCCTGTGGAAAAAAGCCATCTCAAGAGTTTCGTCTTCGCGTCCTGTAGAGGCCAGAGATAATACTGATATTGAAAAAACTGGTCACAAATACGCATCCGTCATCAGATCAACGCTGGCTTTCTTACGGGCGACTTAAGCGTCTTCTTAAAATTGATGGTTATGAAATGAATAAACCCCTCTCTGGCTTACTGTTATGTCGGTTAATAATTTCCTTGGCTGAGAGATTGTGCTCAAAATTTCACTCTTTCTCTCGAGGCCTCGCTTCTCGGCCGAATGTTCATTTTCAGACAATCTCTCAGCCGTGGTCCTTATCAGGCGACATTCCAGCCGCCCGAAGGGGTTTATTCAACAATTATTTCATGAGTGCGCGTGGATATGAGATGGTAAAAAGCCAGTGAGGCGTTTAGCGCTGAGTTAGCTTTAACCAATCTCGTATCAATCCAGCGCGAATAAAATAATTGTTTTGATGAATGTCATTAAATCCATTTGGAGCCTTTTTTCAGTTCAGTAACAGTTGGCGCAGCGCATTTCCATGTAAGGTGACTTGAATATGAGCTCATAACTGGAGTTGAGTGAACCAATCAGAACACCAGATATGCAATATTTGGAGTTGAAAATTTAATAACTACTTGGTATCGAAAGGTTCCTACTTGGGATGATGGAGTACAAACCTGGGACATAATCCCATGATTTATATGACGTGGTCATTCCTACGCTGACTTGAAAACATCACCCGCGAACGAACGATAAAAAATCTAAGTGAGTTAGATTAAGATTATAGACTGTCTCGAAAAGTACTGATGTACCCAACACGCTGGATAAATAGGTAACTCTGATTATCAATCATAGTAATGCTGGCGATCGGGATCGACCAATAGCTGATGAGTTAAACTGTCTGAATTTACAAGTGTGATTTTTCCAGTATATTGAAGCTTACGATAGAAAAAAAACTATTAGAGAGACCTGTTCCACCCTCTCTGTGTTGGAGGTGGACGAGATCTGAAAAATTTAAAGGTTATTGATGCAAACTGGACTAGTAATATAATGATTTTGTGTATTTCACTCCATAGGTCTTCATCCATTGGTTGCCAACGTCTGAGAATCCTCTGTAAACATGTTGTAAGTATTACTCTAGGTTTAACAATTACAGTATCATCATTAGATGAAGGTACTGAAGGGATAATTGATGTTATGACTCAAACATTTTAACCAGGGCCGCTAGTAGTAAGAAATAAAAATAATTGGATAATGTCTATTCTCTAATTAGCCCCCCCCCCCCTTTGAATGATCCCCGCCTCTCTCTGATGAGCCTCCCCCTTCTGATGAGACCCTTCTCTTTGGAAAGCCTTTCTCTGGTCAAATAAAGGCTCCCTATCTGATAAGCCCCTCTCTCTCTTGGAAGCTCCCATTTTTGAACAGGTCTAGAAAGTCAAGTTTTCAATGAAGCCCCTCTTTAACAAATCCCACCCTCTCTAAGAAGCCCCCCTCTCTCTGTTCAGCCCTCCTCTCTAGTAAGCCCCTGGTCCACAGCTACAAGTCTCCATAAGCTCCCTAATAGTTTACCACACGTTAATGGGTATTGTTCAGAGCCATCTGCAGATACTCTGCTGATATCCAGCTGATTATCGAACAACACTCACCAGGCCATCAACCAATGTCTTGAAGCCACTGAAAATGATAGACATCTCAACAGAGTAATTGACTGACTCTCATATATTGGTCAAGTGTGGGTTGACCATCAGCTAATTTTTCCTTAAAAATATACCTTAGACTGTTTTCTGAGGGACTTACTCCCCCTTCCCAATCCTATTACCTTGTATGCTGACGTGGATAGGATAATGAGATATAGATTGTGATCATTGTCTGTGTTTGAACTATTTATAGACATTGAAATGACCAACCTAATTCCAAATAATTTTTTCCTTTCAGAGGATGAAATCTACCAGTGCAGAAATGGTAATTACTGATTAAGTAACTGATATTTCTCTATTTATCTTTTATTTATTGAATCCTGTTTTCAAGAAACAAACCTTGAGGCCCTTTGTAGTGTCCTCTCTTAAAACTTTATGATGCCTATTATTAAATTATAAAGACTCTGGCATCAGTGCAACAATAAACTTCTACACCATACCTTAATTTAACTGCCTCCTTTAAATATTATTTTTTTGATTTTAGTCTTTTTGTAGACGAGAAGTAATTCTCTACAATCTACTACACATTTCTTATGATCAGAGCCTTAAAAATTTGCCATTAAATCAAACAAAATCCCTTACTTGATACAATAACTTCCCATCACTTCTCTGCTTGGAAAAATAATTATTTCCTTTTGGTCTCTCCCTGGAGTGAAAAGTTTGATGTTTCACTCTTACTAAAAAAAAAATAATAATAATCTGCAACATCCCTATTATTATGTAATATATTTTCCTAGGGCATATCAATTACTAGGGTATATGAACTAAAAGGTAAGTTTCCTTTTTTGTATTGAACTTTTCATGGAATGTTAGCATACTCTTTCTCAGTTAGACATTGATATTCTCCAAGCCAAATGTAATGCGTGATTTCCTGTCTGCTGAAATCTTCCAGGAAGCAGAGGTATTACTTGAAGTAAAAAATAAAGTTGGTGTCATCACTCTAAATCGTCCAAAGGCACTGAATGCTTTGAATCTGAATATGATCAGGGACATCTACCCAGTGTTAAAGGTAAAAGTTCACTTAACCCTTTAACTCCCAAGATCTGATTGTTAATTCTCCCCTCTAGTTACTACACATTTCCTTGTAAATTAGTTACAAGAATTTGGTTTTAGATCAAGATGACAACTTCTACCTGATAGGACTAAAATTAGGATAATTGAAAATGAAATTTATAATTTTGTTTTCATAAAGGAGTCTGTAAAATGCATATACGCAGATGCATCTCTACTTCCATAATTTGGGTGTACATTTAACACATTCTCAGGGAAGTGGAGGTGGCTGGTGATGAGTATTTACTGAGTTGCAAGGTATCTAAGTAAATATCCACTGCTAGCCTCGGACACTGAAGTGAATAATTGTCTTAGTTTGCACTAAAACAATGAGATAATATAGCCAGAAAAAGATGCTTAAACTCATATATTCCTGCAACAATTACAATGTTTTGGGCACAAATCCATAGTGAGTTGCATGGAGGTAAATAGCAAAGGATATTTGGAGTTTGAGTTGCCAATCAGAGCACATCTCAACAATATTCACTATTTTAGTATATGTAAAGAAAGTTAATGAAATATGTTCTTTCAAATATAAAAAGGTATTTTTTAAAGAAAGGCTTAATAAATTATTTTTTTCAGGAATGGGAGGCTGACCCAGCAGTAAGTTTAGTCTTAATTAAAGGAGCAGGAGATCGTGCCTTCTGTGCAGGTGGTGATGTCAGAGGTGAGTTTGAATTGAGTGTGCCAACAACATGGAATCATATCTACATCTCTGGTTATGATTATTCTGGAAACATTTCAACCTTTTACTGGTGTGAATATTGGTGGCAAGAACACCACCAAAATCAAAAGCACAGCTGTAGTTGATATACATTTTTTAAATAACTTGTTTTTTAAAATTCATGAAACTTAAAGCCGTCAAAATCATGCTCCAACAGGGTAACTGATATTTAGAAATCTTACATCACAAATAAGAACTTAATCTGAAAGCAACTGCAACTACTTCCTATGTCAATTCAAATTATGGAACTAAAAGAAGAGCCATTCAATTTATTTCCTTGGCGAGAAAATCTAACATTTACCTTTGCAATCAATATGTGAATAGCTTGTGATGTCCTTCATTCTGCCTCTAGAAGTCAAAGTCCATCATTTGACTTTTGAATGTCCAGCTATTGACTTATTATAAATGTTTATACTTGACCCTTTACACCATAACATCAGTACATATATTCTTCATACGGTTTTCTATTAATTTCTAAGATGCTGGAAAGGAGAATTAGTTAACCAATTAAGAGTGTCTTTAGTTGGTGATCATTTCCTTTATTCTTGTGACCTTTATGTGTGATTCAGGGGTCATACTGTAAGGAGAATTTAGATGCTAGTCACCTGTAGGTTAGAGTTAATTAATGATTATGGTAACCGTAAATGAAATTAGATATTAACTTAACACTTTTTAAATTCACAGCTGTAGCTGAAGCTGGGAAAAAGGGGGATGATCTTACCAAGCTGTTCTTTAAAGAGGAATACATGTTAAATTATGCAATTGGTGAGTTAATTTGTATTTCTCCCCCAAAAAATGATTTGCCAGTTTGAAATTTTTTTCAGAAAGTTTTCTCTTTCAAGTACAATTGTAGGTGTACCTTTGAGGAACTAAAAGTTTCATTCACTTTAATTTGTTATTTTAGAATTCCAAAAAGAATTCTTTTGAAGTTGAAGGATATAATGTGTATGAAAGATTAAGTGAATGATATGCAAGACTGAACATTTAAACTGCAGTGGAGAAACTGTTACCTTGTGTCAGTTTTACATGTATGATACAAGATGCAGGAAACAGATTTGATGCACACTTAGGGTCTCTATGCATTGTATTTACTTTTGATTAGTGTTAGGGGTTGCTGCATTTAATTCTATGTTAAATCAACTTTCAGGAACACTAAAAACTCCTTATGTGGCATTCATCAATGGAATAACAATGGGAGGGGTGAGTATATATTAAATACTTGTCAACTGAAATGCATGGCTTCAGTTTTGTTGTCCAGTTCTTCTTCAGTGGATGATTTGATGTTTGTGTTAATGTTTGTTGTTAGGGTGTTGGTTTATCTGTCCATGGCCACTTCCGAGTTGCTACAGAACGCACAGTGTTTGCTATGCCAGAAACTGCAATAGGTATGGCCAAAATAGACATTTTGCTTCAAAGTTATTGTATGGATTATAGAGCTCTCAAGTTGATTTACTGCCAAAGGGTGAGATTTTTGACTGCATAGCTGTCACCTGTGATGCTGCAGGCATCACTCTCCTGCAGGTGGTAGGGGGAATGGGATGCTACCTTGTAAAATTGTGAAAAATGAGCATGTGTTTAGAGGTGCATGTTACTGTTGGAATAAGAACTTTCACTGATAAAAAATATTCAAAGAAGTATTTTTTCTGTCAAATAATTCTAACTGACAGAGGGGTGGTTGATTATAAGTTCTATTTTTGTATTCAACAAATCATTATTTTTGAAGGTCTTTTTCCTGATGTTGGAGGTGGTTACATGTTACCTAGAATGAAAGGAAAGTTAGGACTTTACCTTGCGTTAACAGGTGAGAAGAACTGAATATTTGTTGGAGTATTTCTTTTAATATTCAATATTTAATCTCTCATTCAGTTTTTCTTTCTCATTTTCATTTTCATTGTATCATTATGTGGTAGTTATACAATCCCTTCCATAACCCAACCCACCCTGCCCTGCCAATTATAGCTTTGTATGTGTGCTCCCAGAGACTTCTAACTTAACATGTCACTCTTAAGGTCATAGATTAAAAGGTTATGACATCAAACATGCTGGAGTAGCTACACACTTTGTTACAAGTGAGAAGGTAAGAACTGAAAGTTCACCATAGCAAGCTACCTCCTCTCACATTTAATTAATGCAGACTATGCATGAGTTATGAAAAAAAATTTAAGGCAAATTTCTTAAGGATAGAAAGGTAGACGGCTTATGGTAGATTATTACCACAGGCTTTCTTGCCTAACATCCTCTATTCTATGGCAGCCAGTTCAGTTGGTCCTTAATACGGTTTTAAAATTACTGACGTGCATTTTAGGTAAAGCAATGTGATTATGGGAATTGGGTTTTTATCATAATAATCATTTTGTAATTTGATATTTGAATGAGATTCAATCTAATGTTATTTTTATTTACAGTTAACAGACCTTGAGTCAGCATTACTCAACCTTCCTGATCCACAGATGAATACAGTGCAAAATGTTTTGGATAATTATGATGAGATGGTAAAAAAATTGTTTTTGTTGTTTTAGTTGTTTTTAAATATTTATCTCTGAGAGTTACAGTCGTTAAGTTTGTCAAACCCAAAGACAAAATATTAAAGGGCAAAATTAACTTTTTAACAGTGCTCTGATGAAGAACAGAAGGAGTTTGTGCTAGAGAAACACATACATCAAATTAACAGGTGAGTTAAATATTTGGGGATTGCAGTCATTGATTAACCCTTCAACTCCCAAGATCTCATTTAGTAATTCTCCTTACTGTCTGCCAAATGATTCTCATTATGTTAGTTTGGAGAATTTGGTATTGGATCAATTTAGTAGTCCCATACTTTTCTTTATTCTCATCACTTGTCTGCATGATATTGTATAGATGTAGTAAGGAGAAATTCTGTCTTGGTCACTCGTTGGAGTTAAAGGATTGAATAAATTATGCTCTGTCTTTGAATGTTGGTGCAGTTAGGGAATTATTGTACACAATTTTATTGTGGTCGCAATTAAGTGGAAAATTAACTTTGTAATTTGAGCATTCTAAAAAATTGTATTTTTTTTTGGAAATTATATTTTCATACCTGGAACCTATTTCCAACATGGGTGCACACATAAAACCAGCAGTTTATAATCATGTTTTTTGTTGTTCTTCTTCTTATGAACTCTCTATTATTAAATGTACTCAGCTTTATTGACCATAAGAGCTGCCTCAAAAACATCCTGGTTGCTGTAGCCTCTAGGCTTTAACAGTGATTAAACCTGTTAATTTTTCCTTTAAATTATGAATAATTTACTTGTTTCATTGTAATACCATTTTCAGCTGTGAGCATTTAAGATTTGTTCTTGTTTTTGTTGTTGTTGTAAAATGCCCCAGGCCATGTCTTATTTATAAACACATTTAAGTGTATCATGTCTTAATGCTGTGGAACATTTTAAGAGAGATTAGCTTTGTGTGTGTGGTATATGTGTGTGTGTACATTCACTTACATCCATTTCATTATATATGCTCAGAGGCTCTTTGAGAACCATTTAGAACATTACTAAGCATTTTTCCTAATAAAAAAATCTGTTGAACAGCTGCTTTGACAAACCAACTATAGAGGAAATTTTACAGGCATTAAGGGATGATGGATCAGATTGGGCCATGAAACAAGTTGAGGTATAACTGCTGTCTTTAACCTTAAACCCTTTGGCCCCTGAAAGTGACTAGCATCTCATTTCTCCTTACAATATCACCCCTGAGTCACACTCTAAGGTCATAAGAATAAAGGAAATGATCACCAACTAAAGAAGCTCTTGATTTTTAAACAAATTCTCCTTGTCAGCACCTTAGAAAATGTATAGAAAACAGTATGGGGAATATAGATACTGATGTTAGGGTGTCAAGGGTTAATTGACTTTATATTGATGATCAGAAATACTGACCAACATTGGGTAACTAATTATTCAGTCATGTTGTCTTAACAAGTTTCATGTTCATTTGTGGCTAATATCTGGCCCATAAAACCATCTGCTATGAAATAATTTCATCATATTTCATATGTCATCATATTTATCATACTGGCCCCAGTTGTTCGAAGGTTGGATAACATTATCCACAGGATAAAACTCTATATGGTGGTTAACACTATACATTTTGCTATCACTTATCTGCCGGAAAGCAATTTATGCATTGGATAGGGTTATCCGACCTTTGAACAACTGGGCCCTGATGAATAGATTTTAAGTTTTTTTTTTCAATTCATAGATTTGATCAAGTTTTTTAAAATTCATGTTCTGTATCAAATTATTTGTGGAACTGAGTATAATTCTTAAGTTAAAGGGAGGAATATTTATGGGACATAAATTTATTCAACAAGCTATGTATTTCTGTCTATGAATATCAATTCTAATCAAAATTTATGTTATTTTGTCTTACAGACTCTACATAAAATGGTAAGTGCAGATTCAAGACATGGTTTTATCTAACACAGCTAATAAATTTTTACATGTAAGGAATGTGGCTTTGAAGTCATTTCTTGTTGATGTGTCTGTTTTCACCTCTGTCTGGAAGGTTTGATCACAAATCAATTTTTAGCCTCTCTAAGCCAATCTCAAAGAGCAAAACTAACAGAATAGGATACCATATTTCCTTGTTTAATCACCTAAACTTATATTTGCACCCCCCTCCAAATAGGCTTACAACCTTTTAGGTCATAATGTCAAACAAGCAGTCCTCTTGAATAAGTGCCCCCCTCCTCCCTCCCCTGGGCTGAGGGCCACAAGGAAGACCTGTGTCTATTTCCATTTTATATGTAACTTTTGAATAATAACTGGAGAATAGTTTCATTTCTATTCCAGTTATTTCTATTTCCATGTCCTTGCAGAGTTCCTTTATGAGCGTTGTTTGTTCTCTCACGTAGTATTTTTGAATTACTATATATGCACCTTGCACTTATTCAAGGAAATATAGTATGTTGAAATATGGAGGAAGCACTCTGCATTTTACAATGAACACCTAGTGAATGCAAATAATTATTGTAATTCCATGATTGTTTCTTAGTCCCCAACCTCCTTGAAGATAACCCTTAGACAGTTACAAGAAGGACAAAATTTAAGTCTTAGTGACTGTTTGAAAATGGAATACAGGTTAACCCAGAGGTGTATGGTGAGTGGAATATAATAATAAATTTGATAAAATATGCTATCATCCTTTAATCAGCATCATAATTGGGTGAACTCATACACTATACTAAGATGCCATAAATCTGAAAATTTGGGGGAGTTTTGGTGGACAAGTGCTAGAACATCAAAGGAAATTCAGTATTGGTTGAGTTTATAACTCTTGTTTGACCCTTTTTTAATATCAGTTGTGATTTTTTTCCTTTTGTTGAGAAACATTGTCCATTACTGGGTGATGTGCTTCTAAATTACAAAAATAGCAAATTGGTATAACGGAGACAGTCTTGCATCATGATTGTGATCAAGCTAGCCTACTTAGTACCAGTAATTTAACATCAGCAGACTTTTCCTGCTGGTTAAGTTCCCTATGGCTAGTAAAAGTATAGTGATGTCATAATTAGTTTTTAGGTATTTCAGTTATTATTTAGTAATTTAGATCAGTTGCTTTATTGCTCAGCTTGCTAGTACATATACATAAACTGCATTTGAATTTGAAGAAGCTATTTTTTTCCCTCCCAGCAACTTGTTTTGCTGGTCTTAGTACCTGTCCAGGTTTTCTTCCATACAGCCTTTTGATTTTTTGTTAAATATTTTGAGTATTATTAGCTTATATATATATATATATATATAAATGTGGGGGTAGAATCTATCTTGGCATTAAGTGCTCAATGCTGTGGTAGCAGAGCTGAGTATATACAAGTGAAAGAATCAGAGAGGACGCATTGATTCTGTTACTCTGAGTTTCGAGCCTAATTGCTCGGCAGACAGAACTTATATATATATATATATATAAATAAATATTTTAAGAGGAAAAAAGGACGCAACTACATTTTCCCGACAAGCCTGTTTCGTGAATCGCTTCACTCTTCAGGGGTTTAATATATGTATATATATATATAGAAGAATCCAGTTCCTTTCTTTCTTCATTATATTTTACAATTTCCCTGATTAGGTACAGTGTTCATGCATGCATGTATTCCACCCTTTTAGCAGATTGTGAACTTGTTCAGTTTGCAATTTTTCCACATCATGAAATTGCCTTTGCATGTCTAGTACATTAACCAGTGTTTTCTTATGACTCTCCGCTTGGCAAATTATCCACAGCAGAAATGTAGCTGTATCACTCATCAGCCATGCTTTTTCAGAATTTATTTAAACATTTTCATTTGCAGGAGGACAATGATTTTTATGAAGGAATAAGAGCTGGTAAGAAGTGTTTTACATTTTGTTGATCTTAGTAACTGAAGTGAATTTACTTTTCCACATTCTGGTGAACCATACTAAATGACCTACTAAGTTCATCGTATTGCCCATTTTGTGAAAAAAAAAATTAAATATAAGTTATGTTCTAAGAATTTGATTGCACTTCCATTAAATCTTGCCTTTTTCTTTTAGTTTTAGTGGACAAAGATAATAACCCCAAGTGGAAGCCTGGAAGTTTGGCTGATGTGTCAAACAACAAGGTGAACAGCTACTTTAAAACACTGGGAGACAGAGAACTTGTTCTTTGATGTTTCATGGTAACCATCAGTTCTATAGGGGAAAGAGACTCTAGGACAGAATGATGACTACATGAACTACTCTGGTGGATGAAAGAATGAGAACAGCCTCTATTTCTGCAATAAATTCCATACTGTGTCATATTATGGATTGCTCTGTCCTCTTGAATTGTCTAACAAACTCATCCTGTCAACTGAATGATTTAGGCATAAAACACATGCACGTGGTTAATCTAGGTCAAAGAACTTGTGTAAAATTCGTTTTGATCCACTTTGGAAAAGAAGTTGGTTGATGGTTGTGGAAGGATTGGTTTGCAAATTTTAATTAATACTTGGGCTTGATGAGAGGGTGATGTGAATGAGAAGACTGCATGTGGCAATTATTTTTATCATCAAAAACATTAAATAAAACTGCTGATGACTCTGTATTTTATGGTTTTGATATATAAAGTCTGCACTATGAAGAAATTTTGTTTATATAGCCTAAAACTGGATGGCTAGAAGTGCATGAATTGACACAAAATTTCAATTTACTTTCTCTTGTTCCTTAATCCTTTAGCTAGGAGGATCTGAACATGAGTTCTCCTAACTGGTGACCATAGTCTTTCTTACTGTCTGTTTGTGAGAATTTTCTGTTGTATCAAGATAACAGGGTTTAACTATAAACTTAAGGCAGAGGAAAAGGAGAAGATGGAGCTCTGGAACTGCACACATATATTTATTTATAAATGCACTTTGGATTTATCAGTAACCTACAAAGACCTCCATTTCTGCATTCTATCACATAGTGCAGTTCACTCATGGTCTGCTGTTTGGTAAAACTGACTACATGTAAATAGGCAAAACAGACCCTCAAGACTGTCACATCATGTTAACCCTTAACTCCCATGAGTGACCAAGACAGAATTTCTCCTTACAATACCAATACAATATCAACCAGATAAGTGATGAGAATAAAGAAAAATATCAATTTGGGGATAATTAGTTGATCCAATACTAAATACTCTGAACTTAAATTATAAGAATTGTATGGTTGACAGTAAGGAGAATTACAAATTTGACCTGGGAGTTGAAGGGTTAACAACACCAAACCAGTTACCCTTAACATATCACATACTTGACAACAAAATTCAACTTTGATGTTTACATGCAAGAGAAATAACAAGAGTCCTACTCAAACAACTTAATATGCTATAATTTAGCTGCTTCATATCTCTCAGCAACATTAGCCCAGTTGATAACACTGTAAATGGCTTTTACATAGTCAGGGCGCACATTCTTGTACTGCAGATAATATGCGTGCTCCCACACATCAATTCCAAGAAGTGGCACCAATCCTAACAAACAAAGAAATAAGGACTTTTAAATGAATGAGAGAAGGTTTTATCTCACTACCAGGTTCATCCTTCTCCCAGTTTCATCCAGCATATCAAAAACTAGAAACACACTTCTAAACTGTCTTGAAGTTTTACTTTGCTTACTTAGTTGGTGTCTTTCACAATTATCTTTTTTGTGACATTGAACAATAATGCTGGGGTCTAACCATTATAATTTCACTTGCTATTACCTGTAGTTGCCTGAAGAGGGTCTTGATTAGCACATGTGGTGATCACCAGGCCCTTGTCAGCTTTGCTATAACCCTGAAAAACAAATGGAATGGAACCTGCTCCCTTTGACACAAATGTGTGAGACCCTTGCAGTAAAACTAATTTTTTCTTCACCCTGAACTACGACATTGTATTTGTAACTGCAAACCTTTTAAAATTCCCTTGATTGCCACTAATGGCATGCGAGACTCGGATCTCAAAAAGATGTAAGATACCCATATATACCTCTTATGATAATCTTTGTTCTCTCTACTTGTTCATTTAAGGGTTTTGCTGTGGTTGTTTCAAATGACCTGTGCTGCACTAATGAATTCACTGATTCAACAATTTTAAATTCAATCTACAGTTTTAAAATCAGTCTTGCATTCTAAATTCAGATGGGAGTTCATCAACTTACCAGCCAACCCCATCCTGAGCCCTGCACGGCCACAGTTGCTGCACTGAACCTCTCTTTAAAGTTTTCAAATGAACCAAAGTCTTCCTTGATTGCTTCCATTAAGGCTCCTAAATAACAAGATTTTAAATTTAATTCAGCTATTTTCCCAGAAGAGATCGGAGAGGGAAGTAAGTCTGCTTAAACAATGAAACAAACTGAAAAAGTGGATCTGGCCTTCTTGGCTGTAAGAAAAATGAACCCTCTACACCCTTTCATCAGTATGCATATTCTTCATACTAACCTCTATACTTTTTCTAAGGTGCTGATAAGGAGAATTTGTTTAATAATCAAGAGCTTCTTTTGTTAGTGATCATTTCCTTAATACTCATGGCCTTAATGTGTGATTTGGGGTCGATATTGTAAGGAGAAAATAGATGCTGGTCATTCTCGGGCATCAAATTGTTAAAACTTCTCTAACATTACCCAAATCCTATCCCAAAACCCACAATCACAATAGAGAAGCTGGGAGAGAACTGGTGAAATAGGGGCACAAAGTACCTGTTGGTTCACCTCCACCATTAGGTGACAGATTTGTCCAAAATATTGAGTGATTGATATGTCCTCCTCCATTGAATTTCAAGGCTGGCTGGAGTGATATCATAGCACTGGTATCACCTGCCAAACAAAAACCTTATCAAGATGGATTCTATACTGAACTGCTTAAAAGTTGTTGACTTATTCAATATGTGAAGGATTTTCCACCCAAAGCTGAGATCACAGACTGTGGTCCTGGAGAAGGAGGGTCATATCGTTAGTTCAAAATACTGCCTTCTTTTGTTGTCATGTACCATGACCTGACCTACCCCACCCTTCCAGGTACCTTACTACCCCACTGGATTGTCATATTAACCTCCTTAAGTATGGTAACCAATTTGAAAAGGAGCATTGATTTCACATTTTTCTCATTTTTTTTATCTAACAGCATTTGAAAGTTGTTGGAATAATGTCACTGGAGGTGTTTTTCAACAGAGATTTAATTTGGGGCGGGGTATAGATACCACCCTCTCCAGTGGCTATATCCATTCCACCATGCATACTTGCCATTCAAATATTGTGAGGTTCTTGCCACCACATTAAATCGTTTTTATCTAATGAGAAATCTGAGACAAAAAATAGGAGGAGGTATTTACAGTAAAAGGTGGTCACTCTTGAGGTTTAAAGAGTTAATATCACAAAAATGAAAACAAAATCTCCTCCAAGTTGTTTTGACTTCAAGAAATATCTGATCGACATAAAACAAGCAAAGAAAACCTGCAGTAATGTAAGGTAAGAGGTCTTTTCCACCAGTGAGACTATGAAAATATTTGGCAAGATTTCCATACAGTCCCATGCCTCGTTTATTACGCATGCAGTTTTTTGAGTAAAGGAATCAAAGGCAAAAGCAATCGATCGCCTTGGGGACTAAAGCTTTGTTTTTGGAAGAGTATGAGGTTATACGGAAATATTGTCCAAATATTGTCTTCTCTAACCTTTGGCTTGAGCCTCAGCAAACTTTTCTTCAGCTACATTCAAGTTGTTCACATAAGTTGCATGATGCTTTTGGTGATGAAGTTGCATAATTTCTGCGCTGATTGTAGGCTGTAAAGCATCGTAATCGTACGGCAAATCGGGAAGAGTGTGTTTGGCTCTAGATGACCCTACAATCACGACAGGAAATAACTTCTTTAAGGAACAAAAGCCCCTGGAACTTCGTGAAATCATCTTCAGAACATGAACGCATTTGATGGAGGTGCTCTGAGACGTGGAGTAGGAAGGAAAACTAGGTTCGAGGGTTACCTGCTAAAGAAGTGTTGGGGTCCGGTGGGGAGGGCACAAGTGCATCTTTCTCGCTCTCTGAACCCTATCGGGCATGTCAGCAGCAAAACAATGGAAATATTGATACATTATAAATTATTTTGAACTTATGCTTACGAAAAAAGTGAAACGCTGAAGAAGGTTATTGTTTCAGAACCATAAAGGAATTGTGTTGCCACATACTCGACCCCACCCTAGTAAATTAACCCCTTTTTAATCCAGTTTCCAGTTTTCTCTCTGATTGCGAAATTCCAACATGGAGGGTTCTGGAGGGCTATCCCCAGCACAAGTGGAGGAGGTACAAATATTTGTCCATTAGTTTGGTCAGCCTTAGATCACAGAGATTGATAAGCATCTTGATTTCTTTTAGTACAAGAAAAATGGCTTTCTGGTCATTGAAAACTTTTTCTCACTCGAAGAAGTGGAGGAAATGAGAAATGCCATGTACGATATCGTGGAAAAAATGAATTTGGAAGATCATCCGAAAAGCATCTTTACCACTGGAGAGAACCAAACGAAGGTAAGAACTTGAGGAAAAGCCAATTTGTTGCCTCGATTTTCTTGGCTTTGCTGTAAGCCCTGTAAATCGACGATCGGCGATGATGACATCCGTTTCTCCCAGGATGATTTCTGGCAGCTATACGGATGCTGGTAGTGGCAATCCAGAAATAATATCACCACAAGTTGCCGTGGATAGCCTTGCTTGTCTTAACTTTTGGTCATTGTTGTGCATGTGTTACCTCTGTCAGATTTTGATTTAGTACGATCAAGCAGTGGTTCACACTTTAGTCCCTTACTCTGTGGCCACCCGTGTGCTCCAAATTTTCTTCCGGGAGTTCTAAATGTTTAGAAATGAACTCATCGATAACATATATATCATCACTTTTGCGTTGCCCATTACTTACCAGGTATATCCCAGTTTATTTTGGAGAATTTTGGAGATAAAGAACACCATATGACATTTTGTTTGTTCACTGACATAGATTTGCTGTATCCCTATAACCCCTGCACTTCCAAGAGTGACCAACAAGTAATTTCTCCCTACTATACCAATACATTATCAAGCAGTTAAGCAATGAGAAGAAAGAAAAAGTAACATCATGTAAGAAACATCATATGATATGATTCCAAATTCTCAGAGTGTAAACCAAGGGAAATTCATGGCAGACATGAGAGAGAATTGATATCTGGATCTTTAACATGACATGTACCTTCTCCATACAATTTCAATCCATTATTTAAAAAACTGGTAACAAGAATGGATGTAAGACCAAATTCTCTCAACTAATTTATAAGGAAATGTTTAGCAGCTAGAAGAGAGAATTGCTGATTTCATCTTAGGAGATTGGGTGAATAGTTTTCCAACAATTTTGACTCCATTATTTGAAGCTTTAGGTGTGGTTAGCTGCATTGGCAAACCAGCATTTGTGAAATTCCATCAGTGAATCACTATCTACCAATTCACAGCCTTTCAAACTTATTTTCCAAGGCTTTAATAGGCTCTACTGACAATTGCAACTGAAACTACGAATTAAAAATTTTGTGCTCTTTGTCATTTTTTTTTTAATTAGTTTAGAGATGACTACTTTATGACAAGTGGAGACAAAATCAGATTTTTCTTTGAAGAAGGAGCTTTCAATGACAAAGGTGAGATTCGATATCCTGTAATGACAAAATGTAACAGATTTCTCTTATAACTTAAGCAAATTTGTACCACAGTATTGTTACTTGCACAACTGTATTTCATGTGATAAATTTGTTTCTTATTTAGGTGAACTCATCAAGGACAAGCAAAAAGCCATAAACAAAGTTGGTCATGGTAAGATTTTTATGGAGGACTTCTCTTGGAAGTTAGCAATCTAGGTATAAATCCCAAACAGAAAAAGGTTTATGAAACAATTTTATAGCATGAACTACACACTGGTGAGCCTAGTAAATGGTCTAGCTTGTGAACTAGTTATCTGTAGCTCAGTTGATGTGGCATAAATATTAAAACTAATAATGAAAATTAATAGATAAGATATAAGTGGTGGTATTTCCACAAGATAGCTCTGTGTCCAATGATCCCAGTTAGAATCGGAAGTTGAATTGTTTACCTCTACAGTGGGAGGGGAAGTAAAGAACACAGAGAAAAATCTGTTGGAGAAAGGATTTTTTCATGGGGAAAGAATAAGAAACAGCACCATGTTTATGATTTGAAAAAATGAAGGATATAGCAGTGGGAGGCAACTTCTTTCACTGGCTGCACCATCTTTGCTTCTCATGTGATTGTGAAAGTGTTAATGGGTTAAACTGATGTTTCGTGGGTTAGCCTTTCCTCATAGTGAAAGGCTAACGAAATGTAAGCTTTAGAAACTCTTTACAGTGGCTAATTAACATTACCAACACAGTTGATAAAATCAAATTATCCTTAGAACAGTTTGTCTCCTTATTCATCATTTTGTACTTTTAGAGATCTGTTCATCATTCTTGAAATATCATTTACTTGTTTTTTAATGAATAGATATTTGATACTTTGTGTTTATTTATCTTCTCAGCCCTTCATGTGTGGAATCCTGTCTTTAAAAAAATGACATTCAACAAGCGAATTGAGGTACATGTAATTTAAAGATTTAAATGTTAAGTATAATGCATGTATATTGAATTTCTTCCTCTAGTAACAACTTTGCAGTCAATATTGTTATCAACCAAACCTTTTTTTCTTATTACAGGCTGTTGCCAAATCAGCAGGATTCAAACACCCTGTTGTCCCACAAAGCATGTACATTTTTAAAGTGAGTTGGTTCTTTAGACTGAATTCAACTTTAATAATGTAGGCAGTGAGAAAAAAATTCTTAGTGTGGTTTACCTATATAGTGGATCATCTCCTGATAAATAGCGTTTATATGTGTGTAACATTTCAGTGCTGTTGGAGATGATGTAATCATATGATAAGTGCATAAGTACACATGCATTTTTGATTGGTTGTTACCTATGATCTCAATCTGTAAATGGAGGACAGACACATGGATGACATGTTGCCATGGGTCTGTACAGTAATGGATCATAGAATACTCAAAAATGGGGTTAAAACATAATTCAGTGTACACTCGGCTGGCCTCATGTTCCCCATTTTTGTTCTTACCACATTTTGATGTCATCTGTGATCTATTAAAGAGCAGATACATGGCATATATTTGTTAAATAGTAAATAATTTGAATCCAGGTCAGAAATTTTGATCTTGTAGTTTAGTGATCCTGTTAAGTATTATCCCTTAACACCCTAACATCAATATGCATATTCTCCATACTGCTCTTTATACATTTCCAAAGAGGCTGTCAAAGAGAATTTGTTTCACAATCAAGAGCTGCTTTAGTTGGTGATCATCTCCTCTATTCTCATGACATTCATGTTTGACTCAGGGGTGATATTGTAAGGAGAAATTAGATGCTAGTCACTCTCATGCACGAAAGGGTTAAGAGAAGGTTCCAGAAGGTTAGCATTCCATAGGTGTCTTTCTCATGGAATGTTCATTTTCTTTTTTTATTATTTTTTTAACTCATCAGCAACCAGGAATTGGTGGTGAAGGTAAGAGATTAAATATAATAGTAAATTAGTAGTTTTTATGATAAAATCTAATAAATGAGAGTGGAAAAGAAATTGTATTTTGTAGAGAAGATCCCCAAAGGAGCTCCAAAGGAGCTCCAAAGGGTAGGGTAGGGAATTTGAACCAGAACTGTCAAGTCTTTCCTGTGGAATAGAACTGTTTTGTCTTTTAAATTGGAGGTGCATGGTCAAAGGTAAAAAGTTTCCTTTCTGCAAGTGGTCCACAAAAAAATCACAGTTGCTAATCTTGTCTTTTACAGATCAATTGAAAATCAAATTAGGCACTCAGGTGGGACATTTGAACACAGTTTTGGTCCTAGTGGTGGGAAAGAGTTTGAACAAACTGTATATACAGATGCCAGTGGGGCTGCTGGGGAGGGGGTGCTGAATGTTGAAGCTTCAAATTGATCAAAATAAAAGAACAAGAACCAACAAAAACTTTATGCTTACCATTGCGCCATTCCAGCTCTGTATGAAAGCCAAGTTATATGTTCACAGAATAAGAGGTTTTATTTTCCTTTGCACCTGTAGTCAACCCACATCGAGACTCCACCTTCCTGTATACAGAGCCACCCAGTGCTATGGGAATCTGGATTCCACTTGAAGATTGCACCATGGAGAATGGCTGTCTGCAGTTTGTTCCTCAGTCACAAAATGGTCAGATATATAGTAAACCTCAATTTTGTCTCCTTAGAGGACACATATTATGAAACTTGTATCAAATAGACCTCTTAATGAGCAGACACCCTCTACCTATCAGACCAACCCAAGTCATAAATTAACCTTCCTTAGTTACTGTAAATTAATATATGCCCGCAATTAGAACACAACTCTGTTAATCCTTTACACTCTAACATCAGTATGCATATTCTCTATACTATTCTCCATACATTTCTCAAGGTGCAGACAAGGAGAATTTGTTTAACAATCAAGAGTTTCTTTAGTTGGTGATCATTTCTTTCATTCCTGTGATCTTAACCCTTTAACTCCCAGAAGTGATTAACACGTAATTTCTCCCTGTAATATTCACACATTATTCAGCAAACTGGTTGTGAGAATCCTCAAACTTATCAAGTTGAAGTTGTTGTTTTGATCTAATATCAAATTCTCACAACCAGTTTACATGGAAATGTGAAGCAGCTAGAGGGAAGAATTAACATCAAAATCTAATGTTTGATTCAGTGGTTGTATTGTAAGGAAAAATTAGATGCTAGTTAATCTTAGAGGTTAAAGGTTTAACCCTTTACTCCCCAATATTAGGATGCATTTTCTAGAGCTATTCTATGTACTGTTCTGCGCAGTCTTGCGAGGGTCTTCTTAATTTGCAAGTTTTGCTATAATTGTAAATGATTTTCATTTGTCAATGAAGTCAAAATTTGTAGCACTAGGGTCTGGATAGAATTTATTATTCTTACTAGTAATTTTTTTTATCCTTTGGGGGTTAAAGAGCTTGGCTAGTAAATCTTTTGATACCAAATTTGGGTTTAGGTGCCTCAGTGCTTCCAATACTTGAGTGTTTCAAGGTCTTGAAATAAGTTTTTAGTATCATCCAGATTCTTGACAGCCTGAAATGGACTGTTATTCAACTCTTCCCAATAAGTATAATGTGGATTGTAATGTTTCTGAGTGCTTCCCTGATCTACTTTATAGAAGGAATAAAGCTCCGTTTTATACGCAACCCTGAGGCAGGGACCCCAACCATCTTCACGGGACCTAAAGAAGAACCTAGAGATGACAATGACTACAATCCTCAGTTGACCAAAAAAGGTGATTTGATCACTTTTACTTTTAATTGTATTTATGTTTTTTTAATGAATGGTGGCCTGAAAGTACTCAGCTGCCTCCGAAACTCCCTTCATCTTTCATACTTACAAGATCTTAGGGGCTGGTTCTGGTAATGGAGGACTACAAATTTCTTTTTAGATATCCCTGAGAATTTGGTATTTCATCTGAAGGATTTAGCCTAAGTGGTTGAATCATTTAATCCTTTCACTCCCACAAGTGACCAAGACAGAATTTCTCCTTACAATATCAATACAATATCACACAAGTAAGTAATGAGAATAAAGAAAAATATTAATTATGGGATTATTAGTTGATCTAATACCAAATTCTCTGAACTAACATTATACGAATTGTATGGCAGATAGTAAGGAGAATTACTAACCAGATCTTGGGAGTGAAAGGGTTAATCTGTAATTCTTACTACTTGTCTACTTCATGGTGCATTCAAATTATCATTGTACTGATCACTCCTGGAGATTAATTTACCCTTTTTATACCAACATCAGTATGTATATTCTCCAAACTGTTCTCCATAAATTTCCCAAGGTGCTTATAAGGAGAACTTATGTTAAAAATCAAGAGCTTCTTTGGTTGGTGATAATTTCCTTTATCCCTGTGGTGTTAATGTGTGATTCATGATCAGGGGTGGTATTTAAGGAGAAATTAGATGTCAGTCACTCTTAGGGCATACACTGGCCAGTTCAAAGGGTAAAATAGTCTCCGTTTAATCCTAGATTTTAAAATAGATTTGTAATTGTTATAGGCCTCACATACAAAATAGGATTCTGAAGTGCCATGTATTTGGTTAAGAACAGAGCACAGTAGATGAAAGAATGTTGTTAATAAGAACAGCACTAACATACTATGCCTGTGTCATTTTCCCCTTTATTTTCCTTTGACCTTTTACATCATGACATCAATATGTATTTTCTCCATACTGCCCCCATACATTTCCTACCATTCTGACAAGGAGAATTTGTTTGACAATCACAAGTTTCTTCTGTTGGCATTCATTTTGCCACGACTTTAATTTCCGATTGGGCAATAATGCTGCGTGGAGCAATTAAATCCCTGTCACTCTCAGGGTTAAAGGGTTAACGCATTTTGAAATTATTCTGGGAACAAGCATATGGGTCTATTTTCTTTTTCACTAATAACTTAATTCCTTAACAAGAAGCTTTTACTTCTAATAGTATTTTACATGGAAATGCTGAATATTGACATTCCCATCCAGGTTGTTTGGTGCTAATTCATGGAGCTGTTCTGCACAGAAGTTTTGCTAATAAGTCTGAGAAGTCACGGCATGCTTACACCTTTCATATTGTGGAACAAGAAAACACAGAATACAGCAAAGAGAATTGGTAAGGTGTAATGCAGATTGAAGTTAGATTCAATGTGCTAATATCAAAGGCCTGAGTTGCGACAAGCCAAAATATCACAAAGAACCAATAAGAACTTGATGTAAACACTAGCTGAAGAATTTGCTGGTGATTTTATGGATGTATTTGTTTTGATTGCTTTCACTTGGATTAAGAATGGTTGAGTGATGTGGGTCACTTTGAATGTGGTTTTTAAAGGAATAGGGAGGGGGGAGGGGTGGCTGTGGTTGTCAAGTGAACTTAAGTCTGTAGACAAAAGGAAAACTATCTGGAAATATAGCTTGAAGACTCTCCAAAAACTTGGTTGCATTATTCAAAGTTAAAGGCAACTTTCTACCTCACTCACATTCTTCACTATATCATAAATTTGCCAGTTAGGTTTTGCCACCCATAATATCCTGGCTTATATTTACCACCCCCCCTTCCCCTGTTCAAAGGACAACTACTTTCCATGGCTAATTCATACTACAAATTACTATTCCCATCCCTTCCCTACAAAAGTAGGCTTGTGAAAGTTATTTTCTCTTGTCTTTAGGTTGCAGCCCACACCAGAGGTACCATTTCCCTCTCTATATACTGAGTAGATGGTGATTACAAACATTTTGAACCAGAAGAGTCAAGCTGATTCAATACTCCAGTCACATTTTAATCTTACCTTAATTTATGAACATCCATTAAATTAAATGTATAAACATCCATTATCACAACAGAAATGAAAAAGTCTGTGTTCTCTAAGGAATTGTGTTCTGTTTCTTTTCCCTATGTCTGAAGTTCATTTCATTACAAAATTATGGCACACAAGGGAAGTTTGTTTTGAGTGTGCTTTGAAATATTCCTTTCAAGACATGCTCGAAAAAAAAAACTTTTGCAAAGTGCAAGAAACTTTGATTTTGTAACAGTTTATTGCAACAGGGGATCATGTTTTAGGAAAAATTCTGATATTAGATTTGGAAAACACTGTCTGGTCTTTTTATCAAGGATAGCATTACGGTTAGCAGTTATTTGGTTTTAGTACAAAAGATCACATCAAGACGCAAGCAGTTTAAGCACAGCTCTTTAATTTGTCATTTTACAAACTTTTAAATCATTTAGCTAAATACAATTACCGTGTATTAATTATTTTTAGCCAATGTATCATGTCAAATGATATTTTTCACAGCATAAAGCAAAATTATTTATAATCATATTGAATTCAATGCTTACATAGCAAGATTAGAAATAATCAATTGTGATCAAAATATATATGAAGACCTCTCAGTCCACTCAGCAGTATATATTCCTATATAATAAAAGTTTCAATGAAGTCTAAAAACACTGGCTAGATATAGAAGCTCTTACTAACTCAAGACTTCAAACACTCCAATTTTTTCTAACTTCTACAAATTTTAAACTGTTGACAATTATGGTTTGCGGGTCGACACATCAAACTGACTTTAAATGAGCATTTTCCTCTTTTTATCTATCACCTGAACAGGCCATACTGATTAACTTGCCCAATTTAATCCTTAATACAATGACCTATGATGAAAAAGCTGTTTTTGTTCAGAATTGCTTCACATTAGCAAGTTACATATTAAATATAAGTTTACTCTAACAATGTTCTATAAAAGAAAATATCCCAATGATGTGCATGGCATGTTCAGTTACATGCCTGTCAGTTATGGAAATTAAACCTTAACCCTTTGAGTCACAAGATCTGCTTGTTAACTCCCCCTCTTACTGCTACACATTTCCTCATAAATCAGTATAGAGAATTTGATGTTAGATAACTAGAAGATAACTTCTATATTATGAGTTTGAGTATTCTCATTACTAGTTTATTGGATAATGTATGGATATTACAGGGAGAAGTTGCATGTTAATCAGCTCTAGGAGGTAGAGAGTTAACAGTGACTTACTGAGGGATGTGAAAATTACTTTGTTTACTCCTTGTTTTTGTAACTGAACTTAATATGTAGTGGTGCAAAACAATACCAAAATTAAAATCATGTAAACTGTCAAAAGTTTTTAGCAAGTATTTATAAATATTTTTAAAACTTTGATAAAAACAATGTATCCACAAAATGAATAAAATGCTGTTTATCTGGCTAATCAAGATCATATCTCTCAAATTTAACATATTATTTTAAGAGTTTCAAAGTTGCTTTCTAATGCTAGAATACTGCAGTTTAACTGAAGTAATGTGAGGAGAAAGGAAAGAACAGTTTATTTTACCCAGAGATAAAAGTTTTGCTCAAACCAGCACCACAAGTTGCAAATGGTCTCTAGATGTGGTGTGAAAACTGTTACAAAAAGATCAATGTAAATCAAAGTCACAGGTGTTTATTTCACCATTATGACTAATGAAACATTATTAATCTCAATAAATCTTAATACACAAAACACAAAGATAACCAAAGGCTCCTTGTATAGCAGGACACCTCCCGTGCTAAGTAGATACGAACTTGTAGGTATTTACATACAGTCACTCCCCGTGTCCCAAGGAGGAGCTGGAATGGTCTTGTTGATCAGGATAGCCTAAGCCTAATGGCAGATCCATAAACCACTAACAGACAGGGGAGGTCAGAGCAGTTTGTTGTAAGCTGTTGGTAGCTAGATTAACCTTCTACAATATATAACTTTGGAGTCGGTACATATTTTTTGATTAATAAATATTTAATGTACAGGTTGTTTTCAGCAAATGTAATTTGCAATGTTTAAAATAAGTATAAAGATCATGCAATAATTTTCATAAAAATAATTATTTTCTGTTAAGTCAATAAGCTTTGTTATACAGTAAGTTTGCACATTTCAGATATAAATACACCAGGGTAAATTCTCTATTATGTATATCAAGATAGATTTAAAGTGAAGATTCAAAATTCATCAACACAATTTCTACCTATGGAACTGGCAACCCAAAATACAAGCTACAGAGGAGCTTCCTGTCCTACTTAAACAAGCTAACCTTTTCATCCTCATGTCTTAAAAAGTTTCTTTCTCTGCTCTTTCTTCCTTTTACTTCCCTTTAATTTTAGCACAGAGAATTCACTACCATATCAACCAACACTCTAGTAGATATTCTTCTTTCTTTTCAAAACCTTACTGTGCAAAAATGGATTGAAGTGGTGAACAAAAGTGTTTGTTAGTGACTGAAAGAGTGAAACAGGTAAGCTTGGTTCTCAGGGTCTCACCACAAGAGTATGAGTTTTGTTCTGCATAATAATGAATACAATTGTGTACAAACTACTATTTGTCAAGCTTAAAATATAATTTTGTGTTAAGGAAGATTTTAAGTTTAAGCTGTTCTCACTTCCACTGACCAGTGAAAACTGGCTTGTTTGTTTCTTAAGCAGCAAGTACAAAGTTGGCATGCCCCTAGCCCTTCTGTTATAAACCTTACTCATAGAAATAACTTGCACTTTGAAACATTTTAACTGTTCTATTCAAGTTTAATCAACAGAAAATTCTCTGTGTGAAATTGAATCTAATAGGGAATATTAAGAAATCACTCTTATTGTGTTTAAAGTACAAAACTGAAAATAACATCATTTTTGTGCAGGAAAAGAGGTTGTTAGCCAAGTTATAATAATTGACAGAGAGAGCATTTTAAAAGCCAGGACACACTACACAACAAGGCACTACAGTTTGTCATGGGAACAAGTCAATCTTTACTCAAGGAAGTGAATTTCAATGCTTCATTAAGAAAATATAAATTCAGTCTGAACAAGTGGGATGATCAAGATTTTGAGTTACATCAAACAGCCTCATCAGTTCTTCAGAGAGACCTGTCACTGAATCATTCCTTGATCATACGTTAGCATAAGTTTTGTGATATTTTCTGGAGTTGGTCTTTGTCTACAGTATAAAATATAATGTTTAAAACAAATTTGTAGAAGAGACAAAGTTGTTGCAATAGTGTTCCACTTCCTGTGAGAAAATTCAAAACATCTATTGTTCATCCCTTCACTGTGTGTTAGGGGAAGATCTGACTCAACAGATCGACAGTGGATTGGTGGGCACAGGAAAAAAAATGCCCAAATTGTTGTCAGTGTAAAATAAGACTTAAAAATCAATATATTCAATAGCCCAGATTCAAAATATATTTCTCTCTCTTTGTAAATTTCAGTAGTAAATTTAAAATTTTAGTCATCCTCTTCAGACTGAATGAGTTCAGTTATTCACAATTGAATTTTAAAAGAACAGACTTGTAAAATGACATCCAGATTCCACTCCTATACCTCTCAAGAAGACAATGTTTGAGTTTCACAAATTAAAGTACATGCCTTAAATTATTTACACAAAAATTAATTCTTATTATCAAAATAGTTTAAATCACAGTAACCATCCAACCAACAAATAAACAAACAAACAAACAAAAAAGGCATTATGAATGGGTTCCAGCCCAGGTCAAAGGTCATTACTTAACCCTTAAACTCCCAGAAGTGATTAACATGAAACTTCTCCCTATAATATTCATACATTATTCCGCAAGTAACGAGAATATTCTAACTTATCAGGTAGAAGATGCCACCTTGATCTAGCACCAAGTTCTCATACCTAATTTACAAAGAAATGTGTAGCTAGAGGGGAGAATTAACAATCAGATCAAATCTGAGTGTTAATTCTCCCTCTACCTGCTACACATTTTCTAATAAATTTGATATGTGAATTGGGTGTAAGTTCTACATAATATGCTATGAATATTATAGGGAGAATTACATGTTAATCATCCCTAGGAGTTTAAAGGTTAGAAGAAAATCTACTACTATAGGCAAGTAAGTGTCAGTGATTTTGTGCTCAGCAAGCATAAACTAAATGTTCAGCAGTTGTTGCCAAAAAAGGGACAGTTGATATCAACATCATTACTCTTCTCTTCAGTTTAAGGAAGCATCAAAGAGTGATCAACATTCAATATATGAAACAACAAACATTTTTAAGAAGCATCCTGGGCCATGTTACCCGAACAATCTAAATTCTGATCAGTCTAAAAGAATGTGTTTGATTAAGTTGTTTAACCATCTCACTTCATTTCCAAGGTATTAATAAGTTTGCCAAGTCAGCTTTATCCAGTTCAATAATTACAATGTTTGATAACCAAAGCTACAAAAACTTGACTAAATATATGTACCTGCATATATAAGTATGTACATCAAATTTTAAATTTTTGCAACCTTAAACATATACTGGTTGCCACTCAATGGTAAATCTGTCATGATCACAAATCATTAACATTGTTGGTGCAACAAAAGAACACCAAAATGACAACAGTTAAGCTCCCCTTGAGGAAAATTTGAGTAATACCTTATGATAATTATATCAAGGACAGACAATCACTTTGTTATAGCTTTTTAACTAAAATACTTTTACTCACCAAATTTGAAAATCACCAGGATTGTTTTGTTATATTTTTCAATGACAAAAAAAAACCTATAAACATCAAAAACATAAAATTCCTTCTTTAAAAAGTTCTTTTAGCAGGCTGTTCATGATCATTCATCAATTTATAGCAATAAATAGTGTTTTTCAGCGGTAATTGTGTATTAAAAGATTTCACTCTGAGACTTGAAAATATTTGGACATATAAATTATAGATTTCTTTTCAGTTTTCCGTGAGGGAAGTCTTCTTCCCTTCTGATGCAACATTCATTGTATTGCAGTAGTAAATTTATTAATTTGCGTTAATTCAGTGACTGCATGTTTGTGATATATAAATATTTATACCTGGATAATTTAATAATTTACGAGTTGGAACTTTCTGAATAATTATGAGGAGTTTTGAAACCATGGCAAATATATGATATGTGATTTCCACACAACACCAACTTTATCACCATTTTACATAATTGAAAGGCACAAAGCATTTTACCAATAACCAAAATTTTGCCACCAAAATTTTCACTTTGAAACCAAATGTAAGCTTCTCAATAAAAGCAATATAGTGAAAGTATTCAACACAGTGTTTCGAAAGGGTTTGACGCATAAACCTCTGCAATACCCTAAGTTTTAATTATGAGATGGTGCAGTAGAAGAATGGCTTAAAGTGAGCATATAATTTTCTTTGCATCTGAACAAAAACTAATGCAGGGTAAGAAAATTCAAATGGAGAATTCTGCATGGTGACAAAAATATTCCTCAATCTCCCATGTGGTATGAATCTCTTAACTAAAAGTGGGACAACAGTATTGGAAATTGTGACATTTTCTTTTTGTCATGAACCGCACATCATAAGTGAAGTTCCCTTTAACAACCGTCTGTTATGAATACTTTCAATATACTTTTTTCTAAAGTAGCACTTTACCATATTGCTTCATAATAAAATACTCAAAAGAATACGTCATCCTCAATCTAGACCACTGGACAGGCTCTGATGTCATCCATGACATGGCCAAGGGTGTGGAAGCCATGCTTGTGGTGACAACAGAGCTTGGTTGTGTGCTCTGTCCCCTGTACATTTCTTGTGATAAAACCATAGATGTGACTGGAGAAACTTCCTCTAATTCAACAGGGTCTGTCTTTATCTGAAAAAAAAAAAAAAAAAAAAAGAAAGTGAACTGATGTCTATACTATCAATCCCTAGGACTCAACATTCATTTCCCTTAGCAACATACTCTATCACTATTTAATTCTTTTACATTCCTGTAGAGAATTTTGTATTTACAGTACTACTTGCAGGAAGTTTTAGTTACATTTTTTTTTTTCAAAATCTGAAGCCAAAATAATAGCTAATTTTCTAAGTCTGACTAACATTTACCAAATTATGAATTGAGAAAGATTAAGTTCCACCAATGTTTTTCATTTCATATAGATATCCAAGAATGTATTTAAGAGTAAATTTGAAACACCCCTAGAGAAGCCCCATATGAAGTAAATTTAAGAGAAATGGTTCGTACCTCTCGTCTGCACTCATTCTTAATACACTCAACTTCATCTCGACAAATTTTGCAGACATAGATGATACTAGTGTCGCTTTCAAGCTTCCTGTAGATGTCATCAGTGATGTTGTCACAAACTGTATGAATCCACCTGATGGCACAATACATCAAAAGTGGAATGTTATCAGTAGCTTATAATCTTACCCCTTAAAATATTACTTTTGAATGAATGTGTATTTATATACCGCACATATCACATACTGTCTCAAGGCGGTTTACAATTCTAATTGAGTGAGATAGAACGTCAGCTTGTAAAGGCGCCTCTGGCTGCCGCTATCAGTCCATATTTGATCTCACTCACCCACCCAGCCCATGCATGAAATGTACAATGAAACAACAGATAGACCACCACACCGGGAACTACGCCCCCTACTCTTTTCGACAAGTGTGTGGGTTCTTTAACGTCCCCTACTGACCATGTAACACTGAAGATGCAGGAGACGGGGCCTACAGTTTAAAGTCCTTATCCGAGAAGACTTGAATGTCTAACCATTTGCTGGTACAATTGCAAAGGCAGCACATTCTCCTCAGTTATTTTAAGACCCTGAGTGTTGGTCCGGTCTGGGGCTCGAACCCTCGACCTCCCGCACAGGCCTTTTGTTTTGAACTTGTTGCCTACTACATAGTTAACCTCATTTGATCAAGACTGTTGCCTGTAACTGCATTTAAAGTTTCAACAGCTTAATTGGAAAGTCAACATCAGAGCAATTTCTGCCATTGCGTCAGATGCTTTCACCAACCATAGCCTTTTCCAGCCCTACACAAAGCTGGACAATAGCACTGCATGATTATGTATTACTCCTTGGTTCAAAGCATTCACCATGTGTACAATTAACATTTCATGACATCAACAGCCTTGCTGTTATCTATAAATGTCATTACTATACTTGTAAAATTGACCAATTAACTCCAACCTTACACTCAATTTTTGCATTGACTTCTGTTTGCTGATCACCATGCATTTCTTGGCTACCTCTGATAATTTGGTTATAATACAAAGAAACATTTCTATATAGTATGTTTCTTTTTTAATTCTCATCGCCTAAGTGCTTAGCAGTGAACTAAACTTGAAATTGAGATTTTAAGTTCTGATCACAGCTTGCACCCACCTGCTGCATGAATCACATTGGATCACTTTCTGATTTCCCGGCTCTTCATTGCAGAGAGGACATTGATTTGTCTTGTGTTTGTATTGGTAACACTTGTCACATAATGAGTAATCTATGTGCCACTGTGATGTTTGCTTTGTTTTACACTGTCGGCACTGTCTACATTTCTGATTGGAGGGAAAAAAAATATTACAAAATCTGAGCAGTCTAAATAAGGATGAACAGGTCTGCAAGTAGTCACAGGTTGTGGAAAAATTTGAAATTAATTAGTTACTAAATTAATTACTAAAAAAGTATATCTTAACAAAAAACTGCTGCATATTGCATGACAACACGTTGTCAAATACATTTTAAACAAAATTCTCCATCAGGGTATCATCTTGAGTGCAAAATATTTGTAAAGCTGGGTTCAAGTTTAGAAGCTGGGTGGCACAATGCCACCCTGATCAGACACGTACCAAGTGCCCACCCAAAGCTCAGGAATCTATTATTGTCATTTGCTTTTTGAAATAATCCTCTGTTATGGCTAGACGACCTTCATTGGAAAAGCCAAACATACCTCACACTTCCAGCCTAATTTCTCTTTGAAGTTTGCAACAGGCACAGTGCACAGGGGATGGTATCCTTTGTCGCAACTACTGCAAATCAATAGTTTGTCTTTACTTGAAGTGTTCCTGTGAAAAACAAATAATTGTAAAATCAATATAATTGAAAATTATATGGTTAAATTTTCCCCACGCCTATAAATTCTTGCTGGTAGATACGAATAGTCTAAAATAAGACCACTTTGAATTCGAAAAAGTGGGAAAGATTTGATTCTTGTTTGCAGATGAAACACAAACTACTAAGAAATTTACCAAGGAATTTATACCAAGTTCTCTCCAGAACTTAAACCTTTACAACCTAACATCAGTATGCATAATCCCCCTTTCTGTTTTCTATACATTTCCTATGGTGCCAACAGGGATAATTTGTTTAACAATCAAGAGCTTCATAAGTTGGCGATCATTTCCTTTATTCTTGAAACTTTAATATCTGATTCAGGGATGATATTACAAAAAGAAATTGGATGCTAGTTACTTGTTAATTAAATAAAAGCCAATTCGTTCTTAAGACACAGCTTAATGAGTTCCTAACTTAAAGATGAACTAGTATTGTACTGTGGACTATTCCTCTGGGGGAAAACCTTAGAACTGGAAAAAGAAAGTTTTCCTCTGAAAAGTCAGGTTTACCTTGAATGATGGTGACAGACCAAAAAGTTACAGGAGTATTCTAGGTCAAGAACAAAATTGTGTCCCCTCTGAAAAGGCATCCCAAAGAGAAGCAGCTCCACTGAACAGATATTGGGAAACTTACCTACAAGACTGACATGTCTTACACTGAGAACATTCCCAACCAGCACTGACAGACTCTGTAACACGGACAGAAGGCGAGCAGCAGTAACTGTGATAATGACTGCTACATCTTGTGCAAAGTAACAGCTGAGACAACTCGCCAACTTGTTGGCATCTGTTGCAGAAAGCTAAAAAAAATAACAGGTTGTTGCAACTATTCAATACAAACTAAGGAATCACAAGCAGGTCATTTTTTTTCCCAAAACTTGCCAAATAAATGAGACTCACAACTGATGAATTAAAATATCAGCATCAAATACTAAAAGATGATTGCCATTATGGTTGCAACATGCATGCACAGACAATTAGATCTTAGAGTCAGAATTCAGAACATCAGTTTTGCTACCCTTACAGGTTTTAATACACCTGTTTCCCCTCACACAACAATTGACAAACTAACCTATTCTTCTTATAACATCCTCGTGATTCAAACAGTACAGCTTCATCATTTTCATGTCCTGCAATTAAAAAGTATCAAAGTACAGTTAGGTCAGCTTAAAGCCAGAAGGCTTATCCAGCCTGAGGACATCCCAGTTCCAATAGTGAGTGGTGACAAGGAGGTTTGCCACTTCACTGCACAGGATGCTGGTCCATTTCAGGGTTAACACCCTTAACTGTTTGGTCAAGACTTTCTCCCTGTTTAGTGGTACCCAGTCTTCAGGATGCTACTCTATTTAAGCTTTATCACCCTCTAGCATTTGATCAAGATTCAAGATGTGTAGATGGTTTGGTAATACCCATTCATACTCCCTAGTAAAGAGAGACAATGAGAATTAAGTGTCTGGCCCATAATTACAACCATCGGTGTGACCTCCAACTCTTATTAAATACAATGCACTTGATCCAAAGTCCTATGCATCAATTACTATCTTACTGCCACATTCCCAAGATACAATCCAAGTATAATTAGCTATGGGATAAATTAAACAGTTCAGCCATCCTTTGAACTTTTTTCATTCTACTTAATAAACAGTGTAAGCCCATTTTCATATTCCTGTCTGCCTTAACCAATACTCTGTGAGAAAATAGAGATGGCCTGTATGTGTTCAATGCAAAAAGCTGTACCCCTCTGTACTCCATTCACAGTACTAACCTGAAAAGCCCTTGCAGCCATTGCACAGGGGTAATGGTATATTCTTCCACAGTCAGACATTTCACATATAATACTTGCACCAAATCGGCCACAATAGCTACATTTCTGTAGAGATATTAATAACTTACATGACTACAGGAATATCAAATTTGAATTTGAGAAGTAAAACAGCTCTAAAATTGAAAAAAAAACTTCACTGAAAAGATATCTTATTTACACTAGCAATACTTGGGTTCCTGGTAGATAACTAAATAACAACTACGTAAGCATGCAAGTGCCGTGCTAAAATTTCTTATCATGTGTATTGCATGGTTTGCTGGCATATTCAAACTTTTTTGCATTCTTAACAATCTCCAGTGTTTTTGATTGAGTTGTCATAATGCAAAAGGAGGCAGATGTGCAGAGGAAGAGCTATTAATAACATTACTTTGCCAAGTGTGATCCTGATGGTGCCATCTTTACTAAAATCATGAGAATGAATATTTTGCCAAACCAATTTTAACCCCTGCTGGTCACATCTGCACCAAAACATGGGAGCCGTGGCCCCTCCCCTCCCCTCCCCTCCCCCCAGAGTTTTGTTTGAGGGGCTGCAGCTGCCCTTGCTTTCCCTGTCATCTATGAAGTTCCATGGAAAAGCTGATTCTGTGTTTGAGTTCCTAGCAATCAGTTTAAAACACAAAGTAACACACCTTTGATAAAATCTGATTTGTCAAGTCTACAGTAAATTCCACAGAAGACTTTGCTGCTATTGAGGCCAGGGTCCAAGCTGCACATCTTTCATGTACCCAGATCTGCCCAGACTTGTCACACAGGTCAACCAAATCTGGTTCTTCCTCAAACCCCACACAGGAAAGGTCTTCTTGGGGAGGGACAGTTTTTCTGTTGCTCAGTGAGTCTCCCCTTGGGCTTTTTGGTCTGTGTTGTTGTTGGTTGTTGTTTTTTTTTTGCAAAAGCAGTTGGAAAACAGTGTCAGTACAGATACTTTACCCAACTGCACAGAGCAATTTTGAATGAGTGTGACAAGTATACCAAATTGCTCTGGTTTTGCCCTACCATCTGGGATTGATCAAGAAAACTCTCATTGCACTCAGGTGATTTCTGTGATTCGACTTCAAGTCCTCATTACCACTTTTTGAAATTTTCCTCTATTCTGAATGGCTGCTTACATATGTTTAGTTTTGGTTTGACCAAACTCTCTGGAAAATTGCTCTATTAGTCGTTAACTATTAGTCATAACTCCTGGTGTGGGCAACTTCTTCACAATGACCATATGGAAGCTTTACCCAAGAACAGAATCTTCTCAGGCTTCAAGTATAAAATGGTGAGAATTTGACCAGAAATATGTTATATAGGCATTGATAGGGCCTTTGTTATTCTCTCCCTGAAAGTCTTCATCAAGTTCATTGAAAAGGTTTACAAAAGGGATGCAGCCTACTCACAAGTGGACTTGAAAACATGACCACTACAAAACTCAGTGTCAACCCCTTGGAGTGATAAGCATCTAATTTATCTCAACAATGTCACCTCTAATATTAAGGTCATAAGAATATGAGAAATTATCATAAAAGCCATAAGCTCTTGATGTTAAACCAATTCTCCCTGTAAGTACCTCAGGAAATGTACAGAGAACAGTGTGGAGAATATGCCTGCTTATGTTAGGATGTAAAGGCTTAAGTGTCTTTACCTGACAAGCACTTCTCCATGGTGCACTGTTGTGTTACCATCTTCTGTTCTGTATGGCCGTGGATACTGTTTAACATCTTGATACTCTCCATCATGAGGACTTCTCCTACTGTGAGGAGGATGTGAACCACCAGCCATGGCATAGTGAGGATTTGAATAATCTGCTCGTAAATTTTTGTGTAGCAAAGGACTTGATGAGTGCCTTGGAAAGCCAGATATTCTTCCAAAACAAATCAGCTCACCCTGCCCCAGGACACTGTTGCTCACACAGTTACACAATGCACAGCAAACTCTACAATGAAACCAGAAAACAAAAGTTTCATACATCTGGTCTTCAAGCATTAACCAGCTCTACATTCATCTTTCATTTCACCTATGAAAAGGTTACCTTTTTACTAGGGTTGACCAGGGCTGAAAATCCTGCCTATCCATCTCAATTTTTTTTATATTTTACATACAATAATACAAGCAGATCTTTTTCCCATGAAGTTTTATACACACAAAAAAAATGAATATATCTGATGGACACCATACCTCCTAGGAAGATAATTTATTTTGCTGTGAAAATTGTTCAACCCTTCATCAACTTTAACTGGACTTCTTGTCTCAGATGTCTCCCTAGGAGAAAGCTGAAACCCAAAGAGAGTGAAAAAAAAAATAACTAAGAATTTTTCACTTGACAACTCCTTGATTAATCATCTGCCAACCACTCATGAAGACCCAGAACCCCTGATGGTGAAAGTAAGTTTAGTTAATATGCAATCTAACCTCTAGATCCACCTTCTGTAGACCATGAAGGGAAAAGTGACACAGGAAAATTGTGTTCCCACCCTTCCCCCCCAAGATTCTCATCCAACCCTCTATACCCCACACAGTAACAACACAAAGGCCCTTAACCTGGCATCTAAACTACCACTTCCCTTCCACAGGAAGTATAATGTAAACTTTAATAATTTTTTTTAATTCAAGAAACTTGGAAATCAAAAAAATTTTTAATTCCTAGCAGAGTTGCACAATCACATACTACTGAAAATTGTGTTATCACCTTAACTCTCTTGGGTGAATCTGCCTCAATGTCAATGTCTTGATCACTGTCACTGGAACAACTTACAGATGAACAATTTGACATGGTCCTGACAGGAGAGAGAGAAATGTTTCAGCAGTGAAAAATAATGATGATTGCCACTATTGAACTGCTTATGACAATCCACCACAGTGTACATTGCTCACTGTCATTAAACACAAAGGTGCACAATAGATAGGATGGCTCTGCCTTTAGTTTCACCTCAAATGCAAATTATGCAATGGAGCAGCAAATCATTTGAATTTCAAATTTACCACTACAAATGAAGACCTTCGCAATTGTGGGAAGGAGGTACAAACCTCTACAAATTCTTCCATTGTGATGAAAACATAGAAAGTTATTAATAAAAGCTTTTGAGAAATCCGCCTGCAGTTCATTTGCTTTGGATCAGCTGCAGCTCAAGCTGTTTTTAATATAAGGTTCTGCATGCCATGATGGTTAATTGATAAATGATCCAGAAGAACCTAAACCACCTTTCATTTTATAGTGTAGCTTAGTGTTTAAAAGGAACCAATGCCAAAGAATAATTTACCTTCCTTTGGATCAGATTATAAATAGAATGAAGAGAAAGCAAAGGGATTTATACATCAAATTCCTTTGAAAATTTGAACTCTCTGACTCTCAAGATTTGATCACTAATTCTACCTTCTGCCCTCCAAATATGTCTACCCTTTAACAGTTTTACTGTTTTACTAATCAAACAAAAGAATGAAATGAATAGGAAATCACATCACATGTTGAAAACCTTTGATTTCTGGAGAAAATCATAACACAAGCTATCCTAAATAGCAGAGAGCAACAAGGAGTGCTACTGAGGGCAAGCCTCCACCAGTCTTTTAAACAGTTAGTAACAAAAACTGAACCTGCGATCTTGAAAGTGAGAATTTAAAGACCCTTCTTGTACCTGTTTCCTTCATAATCAGGTTTTCTCTTTATTCTTGAGTTGGAAAAACTTGCTTCTTGAATATCTGGTCTCTTCCTAACTTCTGGTGTATTGCAGAAGCAATTATTTTTCTCCCCCAGATTGTGCTCATTTGATAATGCTGCTCCATTTGATACCTGCAGAGAGATGGCATACTATACATGAGCTTGTGTCTGCATGCATTTTGCAATCCTTACAAGTTTATATATCTGCATGCATTCTGTAACCCTCATCAGCTTAATGTCTGCATGCATTTTGCAATCCTTGCAAGCTTATGTCTGCATACATTTTGCAATCTTAATGAGCTTACATCCACATGCATTTTGCGAACCCTTCCTGCTAAACCTACTTTACTGCTCATCAATAAAACAATACAGAAAAGGAAAAAGGTTTAATAAATAAATAGATAAACAATTAAAAATCAATTCTAATGGTCAACATTCCAGCTAATTATATTTATGGTGAAACACATTTGTCATGCAGGAAATCAGACAATGAAATACTATTGGCCCTTTTCAAGTTTACTGTAAGGACCCATGCATGTGCATGTAAAAAGAGAAAAAAAGAAGAAACACTTTATAATTCCATTTTATCTGCTTAATAAATAACATTTCCCTGAGAACTAGAAACATTCATCTCTTCATCTTTAATAATAAAAAAAATCTAATGAAGTTCACTAGCACTATGATTTATGAATCAGCCCATAACTTTACACCTAAGAACTCTGAAATTTTAAATTATGTAATTAAAGTATCATTGGAATACACTGTACACATGTTAAAATATTGATTTTGGTTCCAAGTCAGAATCACTACCTTGAAATGTAAGATTACCTCATCAATTTTATGACTGTTGCCAACTTCTGTAGGAAAGAAATATTGACACACTCTCATCAATAAACATGTTATGTTCTTTATTACATAATTGCAATTTTGCTTTAGCATCTCAATAAGCATAAATATTTTCAGGACTGAAAGAATGTTAAGAAGGGAAGACGCTTTAAAGATCAAACAAGTCTTGTTAAATATGTTATGAAGTGTTATGTTCCACCAGCTGAGTGAAACTGCATGTAAATACCATGGTAGGTGCCAAATGCTTTCCTTACTGACCCTGCCTGGGCATGGATGTGGCTAATGTGACTCTTGTAACTTCAATTACTGATTTTATCTTCAAAGACCTTTCCTACCCATTCACCCAAATGATAGATTTCAAATTGTGGTGTCAATTCACTAGTCTATCTCTAGCCCTTATAAATTTTGTATTCTCAATTTTCACGATACAAGCAAGCAGTGTAAAGCTTTGTTGAGTTTGTAATCACGGTCTAGTTATGGTGATCCGTCTGCTATAACTGAGTTGAGGAGTGTCATTCTAAATCTTTCCAAAAATTCAGTTACAGGTATGTGCAATGTGTCAATAAAAAAGAGTGATAAATAATCTCATAACCAGTAATAATCAAAGATTAGTAAAGTGCGTTCAATCTCTTGTAAAAGTTTTTTTAATGTACTGATTGTGCAGAAAAAAAACTCAGTGTCTACAGCTCAAGGCAGCCAAGAAAACATTTGGACATGAGATCGAGGCTATTTGTGCCACATAGCCAGGCAGCCAGCTCGTCCAAAATGGCGCCCAATGCCTGAAATCGCATGGCACCACAATCAATGCCCTTGGGACTGGTCCATAAAACCCTTGAGAGTGATTTCCGTAAAAAACGACACCATTAGTATGTGTTCTCCTTCGTCGAACGCGATTACCCATTTTTTTTCTCTGTTCAATCAGCCCATTAATCTTTTAACCACTTGAGGGTGACAAGCAACACAGGAATAAAGGAAATGATCACCAACTAAAGAAGCTCTTGCCTGTCAAACAACTTCTCCCAGTCAGGACGTTAGGTAATGTATCAAGAATAGTAAGGAGAATATGTATACTGATGTTTAGGTGTAAAGGGTTTAAAAAACAACGTTAAGTGATCTACAAACCTGCTGAACTATGTGCCTTATGTACATTTCCATATAGAGACGCTCTGAACCAGTCTAGTAACAAACAAACAAGATCTGAATAGTCATTCCTCTTTGTAACTGATATACATTTTCTTGTAAAACAGTTTGGAGAATCTAGAGTTCTATCAAAATAACTTTTTTCAAAATGACAGGTTTGTTAGAGAGGTACAGCAAAGTAAGGCTAGAAATAATTTCCCAACTGGTGTCGGCTAAGTTGTCCAGTCAAACTTATAGGGAGTTTAAGAAAACCACCACAGCAACAGCAATGGGAAAGTCACTAAACAAAAGGTTTTGATGAGCAGAACAATGGCTGTGCATTGTAAATTTTTTTGCATCTTTGGCAAAACAACAACGTGAAATGACAAAACTTTGTGTTGTCTGGAGAAAGTACACAGCGATGGCTAATTTTTTAAATTTCTATTTTAATTTAATGCTGTGTTCCATATTCAGATAGTTTTGACAGAGAGAAACAAACTGATTGACTTTAGGGTATCGCAAGAGTCGTAAGTAAAATATAACTTCATATTTTAACCCATGTAGTTCACGGCATCCCCATTGTCATTTCTTAAACTCCTTATTTTTGCTTGCAAATGACCCTTTTTTTCCCAGAACAATATCCTCCATGTAATATGTCAACAAATCTTCCTTTTATAAAACAAATGCATGTGCACATCTACTATGATTTTATTGTAAGTGCTGCCCTGAACTTGGAATTTTCTGAGGACAAAATTTTCTTTACATGTCTAAACAAACCGGTCAAAATAAATCCTCCCTTTATAGAAAAAATGCATGTGTATATTAACTAAGTTTTTATTGTACATGCTGCTCTCATCTTGGAATTTTCTCAGAATAAATTCTTTCTTCACATGCCTAAACAAACCCAACAAAATGTCCAGTCATAAAAGGAGTTGACCCGACAAAAACTATAGTTTGAGAGCACATTGCTTGTTGACCAGCCATTATTTTGAGCCCTAGCAATGTCAGAAAACTTCTAGAATGCCACATGAAGTGATTCTCTACTAAACAGAGATGCAGAAATGTTTCCTAAAAAGGTCATTTAAAATACAATTTTGGAGTAAGATCCCAATTGGAAAAGAAAAATCATTTTAAACGCAGTCCATCATCCATTTTTCTTGAATATGTAGCTATTATTTAATACACAGAGTTTTTGATGCATGGATTGATAAACCAGATCTTGTTTGTAAAAAAGCCTCCTTTAACTAACCAACACTGCAATGTGTTGGAATATTATGGCTTAAGAGCCTTCACCACAGTATAACGACAAGTTATGCAGTGACATGACAAACAAACACACAAACAAAAATACATCAAAATCTTTTCATACCTGGCGGTTGAACTCTTTCATAATGGTAAGGATTAACACAAACTTTCTCGTGTTTTGTATCATAACCATTCTGACAGAATTCTTTGTGTCTCATCTCCATCTTGTGCACATCGGGCCATCGCCAGAGTCGAGCATAAATAACATGTGGAAAGTCCTTCTTATCTCCAACTTGCAGCCGTCCATCCATGGTCCTTTGAACAGTAACGCACTTTGATGGCTGCCTTCCCTTTGAAGTAATTGCTACAATGAGTGAGTCCAGCTCATAAAATTTTTTCTTCAGTTTTTTCACAAGGGATTCAATGGCTCTTCGACTAAAACTTTCAGCATCAGTGCTCTGATGTCGGTAAACAGCATGCCAAAGTAGATTACGCACAATGATGGGGCATGGATCTGCCGAACACGGTATATTACTTGGTCCGGGTAAAGAGTTACTTGGTCCTGCCTCTAGATATTTTGGTTGATCATATGTGGTTGCTGGTTGAGGTGAACTTTCTTTCAACACAGATAAGGCACATTTATCACAGTTTGACGAAGGTGTTTTAACAGAAAGAGTTGCCGCTGTGTGAAAAGAATAAAGCTGTTAAATAATATGTAGCATGTGATATTACACCTTCTTTCTGTTGATCTCTTTTGCAGTTCAACTAAAATATCATGATTAATATTTTGCTGTTCATTTGATAAGGTTGGAAAATTTGACACTAGACAGCACTGATGTGGGCAATTACAAAGAAAATATTGCAACTGCGAACTGAGAGCAATGGTTTGCAGCAAATCATATTTCTTAGCTACAAAAATCTTAATTTCACAGACATGTCTGCTCAAACACTGAATTAGAATATAGCCTCTCAAGGTCAAACCACAGATATCAACTTCAGACAAAGAGCTCTAATCATAATAACAAGGCTAATTCCAAACTAGAAAAATAATCCAGATATTCTTCCCATCTTTAAGCAGTTGGCTTGTGTTTTCATCTTGAGGTTTACAAGAACACTGAATGTGATTTACTCTTGCTCAGTACAACCTTGTGCTTATTAAAAAAAGAATCCATTGAATTGTTACCGTGATCTGCTGACATTTTCAAATGAATACAATAGCATCCTCTTTTAGTTTCATACCAGACAATCAGTGATAAAATCCTAGACATCAGATATCATTGTCTACCAGACAGTTTATCGCTTTTCAGCATATCTGTCATATGATACATTATGATTCCAGAATTCCCTGGAACAAACAATTCTCCTTCATAAAATCTCTATCAAAATATTTGTGTGGCTCTGTTATTCTACAGAGCAAAAATCAAAATGAAAATATTATTGTCTACAGGATGCTTAAGAAAAAGACTTGTCCCATCACTAGTTTGTTACAAATTAAAACTTGGCATAAAACTGTTTTTAACTGATTTTTCTTCCTCTTTTCTCTCACCTGTTCTTTCCTCTTTTAACTTTTCTTTGAATGGCAGAGAGCCTAAACAAGTCACTCGAGGATTGCAGAACATTCTATAATATGCCTTGATCCATATTAATATTGATTTTTCATCAGAGGCAGAGAGTTATTTTTAAAATGTAAATGAGCTGTATTGATGTTTTGTAATAATCCATATCACACAAATACAGATCAGGAAAGCTTGGATAAAAATGAACTACAAAGAAATGATCTGTGTATTTATGCATTAGGGCAAAAGTTGCAGACAAAGTTACCAGTCGAGCATGGAATTTTGAGCGTTACATGCTTGAATAAACACTATGTGCACAAGCAAACATGCCCATCTGCATGTAGCTTTGTAGGTAGACCGACAAAAAAAATTAGAATTTCTGTACTTTAGATGAAAGATGTCTCTATCTGGCCATGACATAGTCAACAGATTTCCATATATCATGTTTTTAATATTGACCTATGAGCAAAAATACTGTTGCATTCTTAACATACAGTTCTGAGTGGCCATTTTCTGCTGAAGTCTTGAATATTTGTGTTATCTCTTGTGGCTTAAAATAATCCCTCGTTGCGTGATATTATTATCTAGAAGCTCTAAAACATGATGTTTGTGTTTGAGACAGCCAGTATCTTAACATGAAACTCGGCACAAAACTAAATTTTTTGAATGCTTGCAATATCAATTTTCAGAAGCATCCAATAGTACACAACGCAGTACCACTGCGTGTAACAAGGAGTCTAGAGTACCACACACATAAAACATGTACATTTTAAGAAACTGCGGCAAATAAACCATCCATGCTGTCATTCAAAAACAGCTACAGCTCTAAAGCAACCAGTAATCCATGATGCTACAGAGTAATCCCTGAATTTTTAAGGGGATGTTTATTTGGCATCAGACATTGCAGAATTCTCTGTCTAAATAATTATTGCTCTTGGGTTAGTGAAGCTGTTAAGTAGTCTATTCTTAGTAGTCTTATTCTTGTTACTTAGCAACACTCTCCAGCCACTATATTTCTTGAGGAAAACCTTGGATGTGTAAGATTCTGTTTAGTCTAACAAATGATTCTTCCCTGAAAATCTAAATCAATGTCAAATCCCTTTGTATGCAATGTGAAATTTCTTACACATGAATTTTGCAAATTTTTGGCATATATAAGGTCAAACAAACAATGAGTCTTGCCAAAAAAAAACATTACACCAAATAAAATGTCTTGAATGGCAGCAAACAAAGTCTTCTGCCAATAACAGATTGAAGTAACTCAAGAAACTTAAATGTACACTTCTAAAAGCCATCAATCTTTTGCTGGAATTGGTACGAGGAGTGTTTACTGTGGCTTCACTTTGTGGTCAATTGACTCCAAATCAAGAATTCACATACAAGCATAAATACAGAGAAACAATACGACACTGTGTTATTTCTCATGTATAGTTGCTGCTGTTATGCTGATAATTTTGATGTAGTAACTACTACAGAATTGTTTCATGTGGTTGAAGGATGTTTGATATTAGACTGTGTAGGAAACAAATTGCATCTCAATTGAAAAATACAAAATTTAAGTGAATCAAAATACAAAATTACAGCAGAACAAAACAGCTAAGCATTGTAATGTATATTTACACACCTTGCGTGTAAGGCAAAGAGAATTATTGTGAAAGTTGAATGAATAAAAAATATGTCCCGTGTGCATCATTGTACTGCCCAATTTACAACTTGCACATTTCAAAAAAACCACAATCTTAGAATTTAAATTTGTTTGGTTTATTCGCCAAAATTTTAAAGGTCCTCTGTAAATTACAACTCTATTTTGTATCCATGACGCATTAATCAGCCATGAAATTTCCATTTGGTTCTCTCACACCATGGTTATCTGGTCGTTTCTGTAGAATGGTATTGATTTATCAGCTTAATTGCTTTCAATGAATGAGAGCCAAATGTGACTTTGGCTTTCAGCTGAGCTCATTGCAATGCGTGACACTTGCCACAATCTGTATCGCAGTGGGAACTCAAAATCAGTATACAATACTTGACATGCTTGAATGAAATTTGGTGTCAATGAGGTCACAGTCTGAAAGATTACATACATTTTAATGTGACCGCATCAGCTGTCCTTTTGAATAAATACTTCTGCTTAAAGTGCAAAGAAATCATTAACATAAATTTGCTGTAACTTCATTTCGCTACTGCCCTGAATCGGCAACCAAATGTACTTAATTTGCTGAGTTTGCCTTTTTTAATTTAATTAAAATTCAAGCAACATTAAAAACAAGTAGAGCAGAAGCTTGCTGAAAATAAGCGTGGATATATTGCACCATTTAATTGGCTTGCGTTTAACTTACCAGCCACTTAGTGACCGCTTTTTTCCAAGTGCCTTGAAAGGATGATCTTCCGACAGATCTCTATTTCAACAAGTCGTGTCGCAAATGTAATATGTACACTTTCCATTTTGTTAAACAACTCCAACGACATATTTTAAGTTTCCTTTGGTCATTTACACTGTGCACTGGACCTTTAGGTTCATCCTCACTGTTGTTTAACAGGTAAACAAGGAAGGACTGTTACTGACTGCATTCTCTACTGGGTGTGCATGCATGAATTTACTGGAGGAGAAATACAAGAACACTTCTTTCCCTCCATCCATGTTCAAGACAAAAATTTTGTGTCTTTCACTCACAATCAATATCTAAGAAATAACCTTGAATATTATCAGCCATAGATCTGGTTGTCTAAAATTGATCAAGAAAAATAATGGAGGAAGGAGTAGTCTCTCGCACTCAAGTTTTATCTATTCCTGTAGTATGACTTTGGTTTTACTGTAGTTGAGTTCTGAAACAAACATCTAATCCCACCTTGACAAGGATCATTTAGAATACCAATCGAGATGGGTCTTAAAAAAAGAGGGAATGTTCAAACGCAAATATACCCTTCATGGATGGGCTATGGATAAATTTTGAAAAGACATCATATCACATTACACCACATAAAAAAGAATACCACGAAAGATACAGAGAAAAACGAGGTCTTAAGTCAAGAACTCAAAGCACAAAAGTTCCTCTCTGTGACAGCACCAAAACAGGAAAAAATCTACAATAAAATTGTAGAATTAGACAGCTTAGCTCTTCAAAGCCCAAGATTTCATTAGTAATTCTCCTAACTGTCTGCCATATGATTCATGAGATGTTAGTTTGGAGAATTTGGAATTAGATCAACCGATAGTCCCCTAATTGATATTTTTCTCTATTCTCATCACTTGTCTGTTTGATATCGTCTGATAGGGTAAGGAGAAATTCTGTCTTGGTCACTAGTGGGACTTAAAGGGTTAATGCTATGATTCATCAAAAATAGTTTAAACAAGGTTTTAATGGAAGCTGATCAACCTAAATTGCTTGGTAGAACTATATTTAGTAGAAAGAGCCACAATTAAGTTGCACAATTAAGGCACCTGTAGATGAAAGTGAATAATAAGGTGTTGATTTGTAAATGTTGTTTATGCTTCTCGTGGTTTTTTTTTTCTCTTTTAGCCGACAAATATGAAAAATAAACCCAAAATTTTCAGATGATATAATCATAATTTAGAAAAATTTATTCATCACTTAGTTATTGGTTGCTGGAGTTTCCCGGTCTCTTTGAAGATAGACAAAAATAAAAATCGTGAAAAATTAATTACAAGAATGTTCCTAAGTACAAATTAGTTACAAAGGAACCAAACTACTGGTCACTTTTTAACTCAACATGAAAAAATGCCAATAACATCTACAGACATATATTACAAGTAAAAAGAAAAACAACATACAATCTTTTAAATGCTTCAACATAAAATGCAAAAAAAAAAATCTTCATGAAATACTAATCGCTGAAGACATCATACCATGATAAGATCGCACGAAACTTACACATGCCACAAAAAATTCAATAACACACAAGACCATCCATGCGTACATGATACAAGTAATGTTCTACCAGCTAAAACAAAGACATTTCAGGTTGCTAGTCAAAAAACCAATCACGACATGTTGGAGTCTTGAACGCTTCATCCTCTATGGTTGGGTGTCAAAAACAAGGGTCACAAGAGATGAAGTTAAGGACTTAAATATGCCAAATCAAAACAACTAGATGCTGACATCTGCAAGCACAGAGCAATCTTTATATTAAACTCTTTTAGTCACAAACACCATCTTGTAGGATTTGTTACAGGGTGTGCAAGTTTTCTGGGGCGCATGTTGCAGGAAATACCTTAAAAACGTGTGCTCAGCGTGAAGGGGCAACTTAAAGAAAACGTGTTTGAGGACGTCACTTGAACTTCTTATAGTCACATTTTCTAGGTGTTTGCACGCTAGATAACTCATTTATAAAACAGACCACACATCTTTTATCTTCAAAACCGACCAATTGTTACAATACACAATTTTGAAATAATGGGTAAAATAAACTACATTAGGTTAAGAATCAATGCTAATTGATTTGACCACAAAACCACTCATAAGGGAACTAATCTTGCAAAGGATTTCTTCCTCATATGGACAGTGATTATTCATTGTGTTGTGAAAGATCAGTTGTAACTGCCGTACTATTGTAGGTTCACAACAATGTAAGAGAAATAACCAAAAATGTCAAACAAAAAATTGAATGCTTGTACTACTGGTTGATCCCCCAGGGTTTAAACACGAAATGATGTCAACAAAAGAAGCCGACAGATCACACTTTTTGGAAGCAATCACAAGTCTGTCGGGAACAAAATACGTGAAAACTCTTTTTTTTTCATCCAACAGAATCAATTTAAAACACTGCATGCGAAAAAAGTTTTCGTGCCGTGCGCCCGAAAGCGAAATTTTAATTACGTGACAAAATCCCATAACATGGAATTTGAATACATCTACGTGGCCATTGTGGTTTTGTTTGTCAAGAGTGGAACTATTAATGGGAAAAGGTTTAAGAATGAAATCCTACAAGCAATAGGTTTCAGAGAATCGATTGGAAGACCCTTTGGAAAGTTTAGGAAAAAGAGATATTTTCCACAATCGAAACTCGGTAAAATATAGCACACTCGAATTGTCAAATTTACAATAACAAACAATAAGCGTTGTCAAAAACGCCATTCTAAATTTCAAAAGGCATTCCGCGCTCTAAAAATCTGTTCGGCGCTCAACACGCAATTCGTGTTTTTCGCTAAAAAACATGGCGACGATGTAATCTTTCTCAAAAGTGATCGCGAAATGACTATATGCGTTCACGCTATCGTCTAGACAGCGAAGCAGACTAGAAAAAAAAATTATTCAGATGAGGCATTCTTGAATACTAATTAGGGATTCTGTTTACTTCTTGACTGAAGCACATTCAGAGGTATAAAAGCGGTTTTTGGCCAGAAAAATGGTTCCAAGCAGCGCGCGCGCGTGCTTCAAGTCTAGACGAAAATAAATTCACTTCCCAAAATAAATTAGAGGCGATGCAGACGACATTTCAGACGTTTTCAGACAAGAAACGTTCCAGCCAGACAATGACCACTAACCAACAATAATACTTAAACAAAACCCAGACAAAATAATTCTGCTGCCCCACACGAAAGGATCGCGACTCATTTGGCGTGATACGGGGTTCAAGCCGTCTGGTATAGAGTCTGGCAGGCCGTCCTGACAAAATCGCGCGAAAAAACCCGGCAAAATCTAAGCGACCTACAACTGGAAATTAAAAATGCAAAATAGCCGCTGGCTCGTTATCCAAACAATGACCAAGCTTAGAGGAAAACACTGGCGTGCCCACTCCCATGAAAATTAGCATTTCGCTCTTTGACATGTTTAACGCTAATGAATTTGTGCGACGAATGTAGCGTGAAAGAGCGAGTGAGCTCCGGATTTGTCGAACGGGAAGCGCGTTCACCGTAAGCATTTTCAAAAGCATAAAGATAATGTTACGACTAAACACTCCGATGATTCGATCATATGTCGGAAGGAACAATGACCGTGAGTGAATTACAAAAATATTACCCCCGATCGAGATGCAACAGTAAACTCTGTTTTAGTTTCTAACGTGGCACGAAAATAAAAAAAATTCCCTTGGGTTAGCTTATCACCAAAATCGATGACAAAAAAATAATCTATAATTTGAGCCATTCTCACATATCAAGGCAGCGGTGTAAAAATTTTACAATCACGTACGCTATGCGTGCGTTTCAATTTTGGTCTCTTTGCCCTACATGACATCACACGATTGACCCAACATACACTACACTGTATCTAAAGAAAAAATAAAAAGAACATAAATACATGACTCTTACCGGCTGGACTACGTATCCGCTCATAGTGATACGGATTGACGCAGACACTCTCGTACTTCAGATCATAGCCGTATCGACAGAATTCTAGATGTTTCATCTCCATCTTTTGAATGTCGGGCCATCGCCATAGTCGAGCGTAAATCACATGCGGAAAGCCTTTGCGCTCACAAACTTGAAGTCTGCCATCTAAAGTTCTCTGAATCGTGACGCATTTTGACGACTTGGATCCTTTGGTCGTAATAGCAGTGATTAGGGAGTCGAGCTCTTCTGATTTCTTTCTGAGCTTTTTCACCAGAGATTCGATGGCTCTCTTTGCGAATTTCTCAGTTTCGCCTCCTTGGCGATGGCAAGTTGTATGACACATTAAATTCAACACAATACTTAGATTCGCATCGGCAGAGCTCGGACCTCTTTTCGGGGAAGCCGATTGCACTAAGCTTTTCTCCATTCCCCTCTCCCTGGATAGTCCTCATTTCATCGTCGATAGTTCAAAATTCAAGAAGGTTCCGTCCCCCAAAGTCCCACTATCTTGAACGTTCCTTCCAAACAACACCATATGCGCAGAACATGTTCAGATTCAATCTACTATGGTCATGTCATGGCGAGTCTCTTGCCCAATCACATCGCTCAGAAAACGATAGCAATTAATCCTTACACGCGTTCCTGTCAATCAAAATGACTGACAGGAAATGGTAAACAATGTATTTTCATGTTTGGTTACTTTCAAAGCGAAGGACATGGAAGAAAGTAGGAAATCCGATGGCAATAATATTACCGGGTGACACGTTTCTTAATGACAATTGTCCAAATAGAATAAGCTGATGTTTGTTCAGACCAAACGAGTTTTCACGGATAGACTGCGTCACAGCACGTTTTCACAAACGCAAAATTCTCCGTTTTTTTTGGTGATACGCAATTACAAAGCATAAGTTCATCACCTCCCACTCGTTGTGAAATAAGACCTTGCCTGAATTAAATAAGTCACGTTTAACCTTAAAATTTTAAAGCTGTTGCATAATGGCAAACTGTGGAATACATGTTCAGTTGCCAAGCGAGGAAAAAGGGATAATTTTTATGCGATAACAATGAACATTTAAATTTTTTAAGACAATGTTAGACACGTATTTCTATCTCTTTCCCTAAATTCGGCTGGCGCCAAGAAATGTGAGAAACAAGTTGTCATGGTAGTATTTAGGATAATTTGTTCAGTCGCCCACGCTTTCTCTCTTTGTCCATTTAATCAACGTAAGCTGGAAGATTATTGGAATAACAATTACGGTGCTCTTGGTGAGAGCTGAAGCAATATAAATTAACTAGGAATTACAGGAAAAGAAATAATTCTTTTGAATTTCAGTGCAATATCGGCTCCTCTGTCTCTATACAGGAAAGTGAATTTTTCCCCATTCATCAGTTCACCAATGAGTCGCCTAAATCCTCAAGGTGACTCTTGAAGAAATATAAATTTATTTGTCCCAGAGCTAAATTCTTATCTACGAAACGAAAATCAAACTGGCCTATCTGTCTCTCTATATTTGTTTCACCTGCATGTGTTAAATTACGCGGTATTTTTACACGCAATAATTCTTCGGGGCCAAAAGAAAACATTTCGTGCTCATTGAAAGTTTTTTTTCAGGTATGAAGATAATAAATTTAAGCCTGTCACGCGAACTGTGGCGTAAGCACGTTCGCGACGTTTTCAATCGCCGACTGAAAATTACTCTAAGTCAAATTTGTGTTCTTTAATCGCGTTTTTGGGTGGTTCAATGACTGTTCCGACTCCTAACGTCTAGCCGTCTTGTTTGTCTGTCTGGAATTTGAGTATGTCTACTTTTCGGCCATGTTTTCGTCTCGCTCGGTGGGGGACTTGGAAGAATATGTCTGCACAGCTCCGCGGCTTGCGCTTGCGAAGCTGCAACCAACAACACTTAAAAAAAAAGGAAAACACAGATTGAACCCCGTAAAATGCATTATTAGCTAGCACGCTGGGCCTTTGTTTGCGTAAGGGAGGCGCCCACTCGGCAAATCAGCAAGTATCTAAATCCACAAAGTTGTTTGGGACAAAATAATTTATTGGGGAAGTGAATATGGCGGAGCTTTACAGGCGTGCTTAATATCAGCGCCCATTCTTTTTCTGTATGCTTCTAGCCATAAACTCGACAAGTCGTCTACCTTGATGGTATTGTTTTGCTTGTACCACGTACACCGGAAGGGAACATTTCCGGTGTTGCGTAACTGGACCTTGGAAGATGAAAAGCCCTGGAATGCGGCCCAAATGTTGCTTTACAAGTAGTACAACAAATGCATTTGAAGACCCATGATGACTCAATATAAACACATCGTTGATTACTTATACTGGAAAAAGGGAAAAAATTGATTTAAGTATGCTAACTTGAGTTTGAGTTTCAATTGTGTGGAATTCGACATGTTATTTCTACTCTTGCATCTTGGCAAGTTTTACTCAATTCCTTCTTTTTGCTTTCATTATTCAAGATGCAATAGTGAGAATAAACAATTGCACTAGAAAAAGCAAAATTTCAAATTTCTTTGAATTTGCAAATTATAACAATTTGCTTTCGAATGAAAATTAGCGAAAACAAAGAGGAGGCAAATTTAACGATCCGATTTTCCGAATTCTCCAGTCCCTGCAACAACAACAAAATACAAAAAACCACTAGTGCTTCATGACCACCAACAGCATAGGAAACTATTTCACAAGAATAACAGTTTGTTCTGCTCAGCGTGCAGCATCACCCACATCCCTGCATGATATGCTCTCCATTGTAACTCAGAGATACTTCAATTACAAGACTGCTTTTCACTTTCCAGAATACCTCTTAAAACTGGTTAAAATCAATGCCATTTTCTAAAAAACGAAAGGCAAATGAACAAAAACGAACTCTTGTAACATCCTCTGAATGTAACGACTTCATCAACAAAATCAAATCTCACGGGGCATACTAATGATATATATATTATGGGAAGATTTTATTTTGGACTTTGCTTATTTTAAAAAACTTATTTTGAAAATAAAACACCAATTCATCAAAATAATTAATTAGCAAATATTCTTCGAGTCCATTAGGTGTCAGTAACGAAAACAGCAATGACTTTCCTAAATTTTTATCCGACCTTGAGCAGGTGACATAATTGTAAAGACAAAAAGATTCAAATGCTCGAATAAAACTTTTATGCGATCCGGCGATAAACACGTTTTGTAAAAGTTTAAAGAATTTAATGAAATTCAAATATTCTCTTTGCAGCGCGAACCAGAAAATAGTCCTTTTGATTGAAAATGGCTTTTGAACCTTTTATGGCAAAGTGAACTAGTATCATCCTTGTCGGAAGTTTTTGTGAAAATGTCAGAGAATGCTGCAAAATAACATCACAGACCAATCATTGATTTCATGGCGAAGTGGTCAGTGCTCCCTCAATATTTTAGCGAGTAACATCCGTTAGAGACACGACAGCACTAATTACATTCCCTGACTTTTTCCGCAAATCTTTGCTCCTCTTTCTGTGACTTGTCAGAGATAATAGGAATGAATGCATGGCGACATCTTGTCCTAAACAACAACATGCTCCCTCGTCAACGGGGCGCCACAAAATTTAAGTTTGTCAAATATCGCTCTTCTTCAAATAGGAACACCTGCTCCCTGACACGAAGGTCTACGGAGAGGAAATAGGCGGTCAACTTTTGCGTAGGATTCGCGGGCAACTTTCCCATAGTTCTTACATCACGTCCCATTAAATTGCTTTATGAAAAATCCATGTTTTTTTTGTCACGGAATTTCTCTCAAACTTCCTTTCCTTTGATGAGCGCTTGTTTAGTTCCATTAGCGATTTAGCAAAGTAATTAACGAGGAGCTTTTCACGAAACGGAATTTATTATCACCACAAAGTTGCAAGAGTACTTTGGTCCGCCTGCGGCAATTAATGTTGTACTCGAAAACCACGCAGAACCAATAACTTAGTGTCGTGAACGTTTTAAAACACACTATTAAGAGAAAAAGCTCTTATCCTAAACGAAAATTTGTGGAATCGTAAAGTATAATGCGGAGCGCCACAAAAACGGAAAGAAAATTCTAATCCGCTTTTTAATCCAGCCAAGTACGTGCCGACGACTAAGGAGGAACAAACTAATGTAACCATTCGCGTGATGCTGGCTTTACAAAGATCACTTTACACAGGTCACTTTACACAAGTATCAAACAGCCCTTTCATAAATTATTATCATTTTCTTAACTCAAAATTAAAAACAACCTCCAGTTGCTAGGTTTAAGTTTGTTATTCTCTCAGGTGCCTTCGAGGCCGCTCGCCCTCAATTATCCCCTTCATGTCGCCGATATTGTCAGCGATCTCAAAATCACAAGAATTAATTAAAATTTTAGTGCTATATTTTAACAAAGGCTTTAACGCCTAGAAGGGGTTTTGAGGAATCACACCAGCCAACCCTGATTCTAGTTTGTCAAAAATGCGCTGTCTCAAAACACTGTCAAGCTGTTTCTAAGCGTCTTTATTTATTCTTCATTTTCAATAAAACTTCACTTCAGGCAATACCGTAATATGTACACTACATTTCATGTTTCACGCATTCGGCGCGTGTAAAATTTTTAAAAAACTCTGAACAATTTTGGGACTATAATTATTGTCATTATTAAGCTGCACTTCAGGGCAAACAAAAAAAAAGAAAGAAACCAAAAAACCAAAAAAACAAAAAAACGAAAAAAAGGCAAGCAATTTTAATGAGTTCACTGAATGGACTAATTTCTGAGACATTTTTAACTTTTGCGGTTTGACTTCCCTGTGTTAGAAAAAAATGCGAACTAAAACTTTATTTCTTAATTATACAGCGTACAATCGATGTATATATTTATATATATATATTCCTCACAGTCTTAATGAGTAAGAAATTAAAGGATTTGAACCGGCCAAAAACTGTAGAACATTCCGTCAAGGGAAACACGTTAAATAAATAACGATAAATAAATTTCTGGTTGAAACACAAAATGTCTTCGCGTTAGTTCATCCATTTGCGGCAATTCGGGGCACCGCAAAGGCATGGAATCTTGTTTTCTTCATCTTCAAAGTCGAACTTGTAGTCATACGTGAGCTGCAAAAGAAAACGATGAGTAAATAAACTTCACGCACAACGAAACATCTGAGGTACGAATCCAATTCATCTGGGAAACTCCTTTAAATATGAAATTTTTAAAGGAAACGTACGAAGTATAAAAATTTTTGTTTGGTTCAAATCACCCGTACATAATACTATCGAAAGTTCACTTATGATTCTGGGAAGCATTATCGTCGGTTTCAATACAGCGAAAAACCGCTAAGGAAACGTGACATACTTAAGTTTGTAAGGTACTTGAGGGAAATTGATGTCAAAGTCGGCGTAACCATTGAAGATAGCTTTAATAGGCTATACTTATTTAAAGGCGTTTCCCAATTTGTTTATATTTTCAGTTCCAAAAGCACGATGACATGTTGAAGGAAAGCAAGAGCGATATTGAAACACTAACCACAATATTTCTCAAACTCGTGTGAAACTCTTAATAATTAATACATTTTCAAAAACAAAATCTTTTGGCGAGTTAATCTTCGTTTTTCTATCAATGATATTTTTCAAAGTTTCTCAAAAGTGCTCACAATTTCAAATAAACCCAAAAGGAAAAAAATTAATCATCTTAAACTAGAAGCTTTTTCTCGTCAGTTTTTTCAAGTTTAACGGTAAATAGTGAATTCAACATCGACCTACACACCCGGACATGTAAAACAGCTGCACTCAAGTGAAGAGCTTCGAACAATGACCTTGTATAAAGTAGATATACCATCAACGAGATTACAACATTACCTCTTCTCCTTTTTCAACCTTCCTGTTGGAGATAATAATAATCTTTTGCTCCTTTTCAAACGTTACAACTTCAGCAACACAGTTTGGCTACGGGAAAAAACACAAAATACTGCTATGAGAAAAGCTGACTCAACACTTTCAAGTCAACTTAAGAAGTTTGCGTTTAATCATTTTCCGATCCTCGAATTAGGAATGTGTTAAACCTATCTTGGACATTTATGCCATAATTTGACGTTGTCTCATTTTCCAACAATATCTTACAGTGAGTGCAGTTTGGTGTTTCTCTCGCTAGCCGGAGAAATGACGTCAAAAAAGAGCCTTGGAGCGATTTTTCCGGTAACCAGAAATCAAGCGTAGTTTAATCCACACTGAAGTCCAAAAATCTTTGTCCGTTGCAGCTTTTTGCATTCAAGTATAATCCGCGTTCCTTTTCGGATGAATCATACCTCTCGGAGATGTGCTACCTTAGCAAACTATAATGTCAGGGCTCATTCTACAAAGGCCACTTCAACTGAGTTCTAAACGACCAAGGCCAAAATGAACCCACAGCAAATCACAACCGAGGTTAAAATCTGACTGGTTGTTTTGTTTGTAGAGCACATTCTCACAGGTGCGCAAAAAGTTCGGTGCGGAGCAAAAAAATGATTCACACTGCTGGGGGTCGAGACGCCACAAGATCGTTAGTGATCTGAAATGATTAAATCTGTAAAATTCAGACAAACTTGTAACTTACCATACAGGAGTGGTTGATGTAACGTGCTGGTCCGCCGGCCATCGTGGCATCTATGACTGCGTCGGAGTCTATTCTGAACATATACACACCACGATTCTACAACAAATAGAGATGACAAACTGCTTAGTTTTGGTTCACAAGGATCTTTAACCCATATTCCTCAAGTTACATACTTGGAAAACACACTAGGAAAGAGAAAACTGTCTCAAAAATAGAGGTTTCCCTTCAGAGAAGTTAGCAGATAAAAAGTCTTAGGAAACGTGTTCATCTTTGACTCCTGAGACTGACTAGCATCTAATATCTCCTTACAGTTTCACCCCTGAATCGCACATCAAGGAAACATGGATAAAGGAATGATCATCCACTAAAGAAGCCCTCGATTGCTAAACAAATTCTTTTTGTCAGCACCTGAGGAAATGTATAAAGAACAATAGGGAGAATTTGCATACCGATTTCAGGGTGTAAAGGGTTTAGAAGCACTTCGGTGATGATGTGACGTGCAACACGATGACGTCAAAAGCCGTCGTACACATAATAATAAAAAACATTACCTGCTTTTCGTAAATTTGCTCTCTTCTGTTTGCGACTTCGTTTCGAATAATAGAACCAATGTATTCGATCACCATGCTTCCCTGTCGAAGACAAACAACACTGTAATTAGTATCAAAGTTTGTACGAGAGATAGCTATGTCATCAGCTCTGATGGAAACAAAGATTTAACTAACCGCTTCCATGTCCTTGTTTGCAAACAGCCCTAAGCCCTGAAATAGGAAAAAATACCAACTCTAATTATCTGTGTGTCATTGTTAGATTTTAAGTGCAACCGCGTCAAAAGGGACCACTTAGAACCGATCATAACAGAGGCTCGCATGTTAAGATTCATCAGGAGTTCGAATAATTTTTGTCCATTCCGTAAATTTCGTCCTGGCCGTCTTCTTCAACCCTTTTACAAACTAGTAGGCAGCACTGCACGAACTTAAATAATAGAAACCTGTTTAAATCTCCTGTGCGTTGCGTCTGACTATAGCAAACTTCCACATGGAGTTTTTACAAGGAGGGTAAATAGGCTTGCTTAGATTCAAATAGTAAATGCGATGTCTATTTTCGACCATTACACATAGTGTAAAGCAAGCAGAAGTATTCGCAAGGTGTGACAAAGGTGTTGTACGGGCATTTTGCAGACGTTGCATGTACGAGAAAGTGGTGTACCTGAGGTTCACAGATTTAGTTCTTAATCTTAATTATTATTTGAAAACGATATATCTGTTAGGTGGATACATCATAAAAGAGAGGTTCCAACGTATATCGTGCTCACGACTATGGGACCGTTGCAATGTTTATATTTTTTTTACCGCAACAGTGAATCGTCGGTGAATATTTCTTACTTGAATATTCGACCTTCCCAGGAACACATTGGTTTTCCATTCTGTTTTAAGCTTGCGGTATTGTGTAGCCTTGGAGTAGACAAACTGTTTGAGGTACAATCCGGATGACTCTTCTGAGTTTCCTGCTCCACCAACAGTGGCCGCGGGCGACACTGCTGAACCAGAACTTGTGGCAGATCGAAGGGCACGTGCTCTGAAACGACAGAAATATATAAGATATCAACACACATATCTTTTCTTCTTCGAATCGTAAGGCCTCCAACTCCCAGAGGTAACTGACGCAGGGATCAGCTATTAACGTATCACAGAAAGAACAAGTTTAAAGTGATCTCAGAAATCTAGGATCGCTTCGGTTTGCTTCAATTCGCTCTGTGATTGGTCCACAAAAATTCACACCACATCCTCAACCAATCACATGCAAAACTAAAACCACCCGCGACTTAGTCGCCCGCGATTTCCCGCGCTTTCCCGCGCTTTAGGCCGCTGAGTTGTTTCTACTTTGAGTTCTTATTAGCTCTTAGAGCATTTTCCTTTCCTCTCCTCAAATTGGTCGTTATGATTAATTTGGTTTGGGTTTGATCGAAAAGCGCGCTTGGGAAAATACTGGCATGACCTAGAGTAAAATAATTAAGGTTTTAACCGCAGGAACCCTCTTGGTGTCCCGAGGTAGGTCCTTGTACCTTGCGCTCTTGAAGTGCGACTTCAGCAGGGGCTCGGATCTAGCACTGCCCGTGGGGTTTACCGCCAGCGGCAGCTCCATGATGGGTGACGGGCCATAACGCATGTTATATCCCTGCATTTGATCAACACCAGGCATCTAAAAACACGTGTATAAAAGTAAAACATGGTTAACAACAGTGAAAACTGTACTATACCGACAGTTTAGGGACTCTCGCTTGTGACCAACAGAATACATAAAAAAAAAAGAAACAACAACTGCAATTCGAACCAATGCTACCTTCAACTGAAAGCCATACTCAATAACAGGATCATGAAAATGCTACTGGATACTAAATCATCTCAGGGTCTGGTCCCTTACGCTCCGTATTAAAATAATAAAAAATAAAAAAAAAAAAAAGAAAGAAAAAAAACCAGGTAGACAATTAAGCTCCTCACCGACTCGATGATCCGCAGAACATACTGCTCCGACAAACCAAACAGATCCTAAAATGAGAGAGAAAGTCAGTGTTTTGAGTAACAGATAAGAGAAGGACCTCAAATTTGTATACATGAGTTCCACAGTCAAGCAAAATCGGACAGCAAGAGACATGACGATTTTACCCAATAATAAATCCCTTCTTAACTCACCTCGCCAGTGATGTACTGAGGGAACAGGTTCACTAAACCAGCTTCTTTCCTCATTTTCAAAATAGGAACAAGAATCTGCTGCCACACATCTGTTTAGAAAAAACAATGGAAAAAAGGTCTTATCATGTCAATATTTCAGATCGCCAGATATTTGAAATTAAGAAAACAGCAAATACTGTTTCATCATTGATATGTTTTTGCTAAGAGGGAAAAAAAACTATGCCCACTTGGTACCCTGTTAAGCCTTTAACTCCAGAAGTGATTACGATTTTAACATCTATACATTATCCAGCCATCAGGAAATGAGAATACTCAAACTTATCAGGTAGAAGTTGTTGTCTTGATCTAACACCAAATCAGTTCTCCCTACTAATTATCAAGGAAATGTGTCGCAGCTTGAAGGGAGAATTAACAATCAGATCTTGGGAGTGAAAGGGTGTGGTGTAAGGTTTTCAATTTACCTCTGGGTGTTTTTCCTCTGAACACCGGTTGCTCATTGTGTCCATCGTCATCAACCCTGATGGTAAAACTTGGCGAACCTTCCGCGTCTTCAACCACACAGTGATATTTACAGCGGCGATTCACAGAGTGCATGCTCCAGTAGAAACGGATTGTTTTGAAACCAACCTGAGGCAACAAGTCTGAGTAAGTATTGAGCAAAGAGCACAATGACTAATGTTCGCAAATTAAATTGAAACAAGAATCGGACTAAAAATAGTTAAATAAACAGAGAGAAAAGAAAGGCGACGGGAATGCTGATAAATAACATATCACTTACCGGATACACGGCGTCTCTAGTGTGGAACGACTGTAGCTGATGAGGCAAAAGTTGTCCCAACGATTTCACCACCAAGCTTCCCACGCGTAATGTCTGTGGCTTGTCGCTGGTCTCTTGATTGTGACGTAACATACTAACAGGAAAAAGGACGCAGGTCAGAAGGCGAATAAGGTTGGAGGGGGAGGGGGAGGAGGGAGGAGGAAGGAAAGGGGGAAGGGAGGGGAGCAGGCAGCGTATTTAGATTAAGTTTTGTAAAACAAAACCACAAGAAATTACAACAGCTGATCACAGCAAAGGAAACTAGAAAATAATCCTCTGATGACTCGACATGAACATACGAAAATTGCCTGAACCGCGGACAAACGTGAGCGACGAAGTTTGGCCACAGAAAGGCTAAGAAAGAGGCGCAAGTTTTCTGGACCAATCACAAAGCTTAGTTAAATCAAACCAATGTAATCCAAGATTGCTGTTGACAATTTTTTACAGTAAAAGTGCCTATAAGTATTGGAACGATAACTACTCTTTCAAGAAGAGTATGAATACAAAGAATCTCAGACGCTTCTTAACTTTACGAACATCCAGCCGAGTTTCGGCAACAAAATTTTGACCCAACAGTAATTCTTCAACTTAAAAAATCTGACTTGCTAGAAAACATTCTTCTCGTTGAGCTTACCTGGCGATCTGTTGAATCTCGTCCCTGTTCACATAAACTTTTCTAAACACGGCATAGGTGGTGAGTACATGGTCTCCGAGCGATGCAGCTTCTGGTCTATGTTCATGACACAGCATGGTCTGGCAACAGGGAAATGAGCCAAATAAAGACACAATTTAACGCTGCTGTTGAGGATCTTTTGCTAAATTAACCACTATGTCATGTAAGAACCGACTCCTTTAACTGTTTAAGTCATTTAAAAGTCTGTGGAACCAACAAATCAATGAACTTTGTAACCACTCGCAAAATCCTACTTGGACATTCTAAGTACAGAACATACGCCTACCTTGTCCTTTAGGAACAAACAACCTTTAGAGATAGCACAACTGAAGTGATAATTGTTTGGGCAGCCGATCTTGGACAGGCCAATCTTCTGCTTACACGACACTGTAGCGCCTCTTTTGTAGCAAACTACACAATTCTGTTTAAAAAAGGAAATGTATTAGCAGTTATGGCTTCAGCAACGAAACTGATTTCTGGTGATGAACCATTCCTGAATTTATCAGTCCTGGCATTTGTCCACTTGGAGAACAGAATAAAGGAGGTTAAGTTATCTTCAAGAAAACCCCTTTAACCCTTTAAAACCTAACATCAGTATACATTTTCTCCATACTATCCTTTATACCTTTCCTAAGACGCTGACAAGGAGAACGTCTTACATAATCAAGAACTTCCTCAGTTGGTGATCATATCCTTTTTTCTTGTAACCTGAATGTGTGATTCGGGGATGATGTTGTCAGGAGAAATTAGATACTGGTCACTCTGACTTTCTTTTGCCCTGCAGCTCACAACACTTACCGTAACAGTTCCTCGCTTCACAGCCACTTCGACATTCATCAATGCGCCATTTAGCGTTTCGTAAACTTCCAAGGACCAGAGAGCACAGTTGAGATGGACCCACACGTCTACATTCAGATTCAGCAGCCTGAAAAGGTAAAACTCATTAGTATCATCGTTACCTTTAACTACCACGTCACTCGTCCATAACGTTTCGCTTCGCGTTGTAACCAAAATCGACACATCTGTTCCCATACAGTTGTTTCTTAGCCCCAGTTACTAATCAGGCCAAGGATGGAGGATGGAATGTAAGTCAAAAGCCAGCAGAATATCCTTACCGGGCTGATGCATTGTTATCACCGTCTCCTTTCGCACCGCAAAGAGTGCACCTCCTAAGGTCATCCACTGCATTGGCAGGGGGCTTCAGTGATCCGTTGTGTTTCTCCAGAAGCTACAAAATAACCAGAACCCAGATTGTAAGGGGCGGTTACAGAACGGAGTTCCAAGGCAATGATACCTTTACGTACCTCAGCTGATTCCTCTGGTGTCAACTCTATCCGTTGTTTGTTGTCGCTCTTAGCTTCCTCGCTCTGTTGCCATCTTTTCCACCGCAACCGACGCTGTCGCTTAGAAATCTTCGCCTGCAAACAGAGCAGCCCAGATTATTCTCGCGAAAAGTGGGGCCCAAGATAGAGTCAACCCTGCCCAAAGGACATACTTTGACCACTCCAATATTCCAGGAACAAAATGGTAACATAAATAAGCAACAGCTCAAAATATTTTTGTACACAACTCAACTTACCTCTTCATCTTCGTCTTCATCCTTCCAGCTGGGACTGCGTATTTTTCGTACAGATGTCGGCGGTAATCCATCAGCCACGAGGCTCCCCCGTGTCTCCACATCACTCACTGTCGTTATATTCCCGGCTCCGATACTTGGCTGACCAACTGACGTCACAGTCGCTTCTAAAGGAGGATCTCCAACAATGAGGTCTGGTTTGCATTCCCGAGTGGGCGAGGAACACGCGGATCCGAAATGCGCGAAATATTGTTTTAAGCAAGCTTCCGAACAGAAAATGTCCCCCGTACAGTCGCCAGCTTCGACATTGACTCCATAGATTTTATAGTCTGCAGCATCAGGATGTGTCCTATTCAATTCATTTGTTTCCGTAGTCTTTCCACTCTCTTCTTCCGGTTTTCTTTTTACCCCAATACCAATTATCAAAACGTCACAATGCCTACAATATGGACCCTCGGGTTTTTTGCGCGAGGGCTTTTCCTCGCTGGGTGATAAGCTCAGCTGCGAACACGAAAAGGGCTGTTTTTGGTAAATGTCAGATGACGTATGACTCCTTGGAGCTATAGAATTACTTAAACTATCTCCACCTGGAGTTGTCAATGAGTTGGTCGCCATAAACCCTTTGGTAGCAAAGCCTTTTCCTGCAGGCTCAATAACAATGTCCGAGTGCCTGGGTGGAGAACAACCTATCAATTCTGCTACTGATGCTACAGTTTCTGTGACTCTTTGCTCAGATGTAGGCGACAGAGTTAGTGTCACATTTATACTATCCAAATCGTCAGTATCATTCCCAAGCCTTGACGAGTGGTGCGCTTCTAATTTACACGTAGTTTGCACAAAACTGCCTTCCGGAAAATTGCCACAAGATTGACCGCATGAAGCTCGGTTATCAAGATAGTGCTCCACCTGCTCGCGTTTGATTGCCACTGCCGGGAATGTTGGAGAGTCGGTGCTGTCACGATGCACCAGTGCTGAAAACTGAGGGGTCTGAACTCTGTTGACCGCGTCTGACTCTGGAGATGAAGACGCTATGTATTGAACTGGTTCAGGTGAGGTCGAGGAAGAACTACTGTGAGACTCTTTACCATTGGCTTCTGCGTGCTCTCCGGGGAGATGTCCTCCAGATGATATTATTTCAACTAATCGATCGCTAACGGTTGCTGCTGAATCTGAGAGCGGCGGAGTGGGCATCGACGGAGGAACACTGACGCCACCTTTACTAGTTTCTAAGGCGCCCGTATACCGAGCTCGTTTGGCTTGATGTTCACTATCACGGCTGCTTGCTGATGGTTTGCTTAAATGAGGCAATTCGGCTCCATCGCGTTCTTCGGGCGAAGCATCTCCATTAACAAGAGGTTTTCCACTAGAATCTGTCCGGTGTTGATGAATTCCTGGTGATGGCGGAAGAGATGAGGGTGGGGTGGGTGGATGTCCCACCACAATGTCCATGTCAGATGATGGAAACTGTGCATAATAATCCACCATGCCATCCACTTTAGCAGATCCAAAATTTCCTTTCAGGAGACACTGCCCATTGAAAGCCCTACTACCATATGGATGTGTTAAAGCATGGGTCAAAAGCAACTTCGGTTCACAAAGGGAAAGTGGTGTGGCTGGTTTGAGATCCCTGTGTGCGTTATTAGGAGTGGAAATCTTCAAGGAGTTGGTAGCATTGTTCTCGATGTCCGTTTTCTGTTTGTTGCGGCTGTTTGCATTGATGTATATCCTCTGCCTCTTCCTCTGCTCTCTTATCATCTGTTTCTGGATACGAAGTTCTTTCTGGAGCTCACGTTTCTTCTTTTGTTGTTCCTCGTACTCACGTTTCTTCCGCTCATATTCTTGCCTACGCAGCTCCTGAAGCTTTTTCTTCATGGGGTCTTCTTCCTTCGGCTGTGGTCTCCTCTTTACCGGGCCCTCTCCGCTGGAGTGCGAATTCTTTGACCGACTCGACGGCTTAGGTGTTTTTGCAGGTTTCTCACCATTCGCTGGACGAGCAGGGTTTGATGGGATATGTCCCTGTTGTTGGTTACTCTGATAATGGTCGAGAGCTTGGGGTATCTGTCCTACTGTTCCATGCAGAGCCTCAGGGCCAATAGCACTCGCTACATTTGCTATTTGTTGGGGTAACGGTTCTAGGCTGTCCACGGGGGCAGCGCAGTTAATTTGCTCTGCCACAGGTCTATGCTCACCGCCTGAAACTAAAGGTATCTCACCATTACTAGTGACGACAGGTGCCACATCATTTACTAAGGGAACAGCATGAGTAGTCTTGACTGGAGATGCGACACTTTCGATGGTCTCGCAAGTGGATGGAATTAATTCAGGGACAGCTGTCTCAATTCTTTGATTGGTTAACGAATCATCGTATTTATTAACATCAGCAACACGCGAGACACCCGCTTGTTCGCTTGGTGTCGGATTTTGTTCTGTTTCCCGTGGTTGGGTGTCTTGGACAGCACTGGTTGTTTCGCGCAACATATCGTGCCTAGGTTCTTCAACAACCTTTTCTTGATCGGCTGCTGGATGAGCATTACTTGAGATACGATCTAACTTTTCGTCTCCATTCGTGTTTGTAACATTACAGGCAGTTAGTTTACTTGAATCTGAAGGAGTCAGCCCTACTTCTTCTGCCTCATGTTCTTTTCCTGCCGCACGTTTCCCCAAATCCGTAATTTTGTTGCCTCCAACCGCTGGTTCACTGGAAGCAGATTCAGCGAAAAATGTCTGACGTTCCTTTCGTCTTTCCGTTTCCTCAAGCAGAGGTGAAATAAGGCTCTCTTCGTGACACTCCAGAGACGCTACAGAATTCGCCTGAGAACCATTGTCCACAGCTTTAATTGGAGATAACAAACACTGCTCAAACTGAGTTTCTTCTTCCATGAAGTCTCTTTCGTAGATCCTGTCCATTTCCGGATCATAGACATCGTCATCCAAAGGCAAATGGATCCGTTCCAATTCACTCTGCTTTTCCAGTTCCTTACAGGCTTCCTCCTCGGTTGCCATGTCTGCAACCATTGACTCAAGTTTTTGTAATGCTTCAAGTCCAGTCCCATTGCATGGTTGTTTATTCTTATCAGCAGACTCACTAGAATCGTTTCGTGCGGAAGCTGGAGTTTCGCTGTCTGTAGTATTCATCTTCTCGTTCAACATATTGGCATCACTTTCTTCATTCCTTGCAGATGGCGCATTACAACTATTGCTCTCGCTGCTGGCTGAAAGAGAGTTCATTTCGATACATTGCCCTGTAAATACTTCCTCTGTAGGTTGTTCTTTCACCTCCTGCACTGCAGGACCTTGGTCTTCATCTTTACCATCAGGACCTTCATCTGCATCAGCATCAGTGGGGCCAGTATATCCGGCACTTTGTTGAGCGTCGGGCGTTTGAGGAACAGATCCTTCGGATTCCAGCATTTCCTGCTTTATAACTTGCGCTTGCTGAGATAGAGTGAGGCCCAAGCCCTGGGGATTTTGCTCTGATGAAGAAGAATTAGTCTGTTGCTGTTGTTGGAGATCCACCTCTGGGAGAACATCAACTTCTGCTGTCTTCTTGCTGCGAGGTTTTCCGGGCTTTCTGGTGCCAGGTGTTTTCTTTGCTCCCCCTCTGCCCCTGCCTTTGCTTTGTAGCCCCTGAAACTGATCACTGAAGGGGTTGTTTGCTTCAGCAACGTAACGAACTTCTAGTTGCCTTTGATGGATCGGGTGTTTACCAAATTGCTGAAGATAATGCTCAGGCGTTGGGAACCTCTGTGAAAAAGAATTTTGATCTGTAGTATGGGGATATCCTGGAGGAACCTGAGCACTGGAGGATAGGGGCATCTGAGGTCCTGGTGTACCAGGTGGGAAAGCAACTTGCGAATCAGGTCCTGGTCGTGGCCCTTGCGAAAGCTCTGGTGTGTGTGGCAAAGATCGCATTGGATGGGCACCATCAATGGATGGCTGTGCTAACATTCCTGGGTGTTCAAGTATGTTTTGCTGAAGAGGCACTTGAGGCTGTTGCCCAGGTTGTTGTAACGGCATTGTAGGTTGTACACCTTGCTGTTGACCCTGTTCAACAAAAACTCCTGGATTCTGCTGCATCAACCGATGCCGCTGTTCCATCTGTTGGTATATTTGTTGCTGGAGCACTTGCTGTTGACGTTCAAGATCTGGATCATTGGCTTGCGGTTCTGACTTCTTAGATTTCCTCTGTCGTGGTTTCGACTGTTTTCCCTTTGGTGGCTGCCAATCAATGGCAGGGCTTTGCTGTCCAATCGGGGATGGCTGAGGTGTGTCCCTACTTTTGGACCTCGACCTCGACCTCGACCTTGGTTTCTGTTCGGGTCCCTGGAAAAAATGAAAAAAATGAAAAAAAAAAAAAAAAAATAAATTTAATATATATAATATATATATATATATATATATATATATATATATATATATATATATATATATATATATATATATATGTTGACCACTGATACAACTAAGCTAGAAACAAAACAAAAAGTCTATGATGTTTCATCAGTCTTGCCATGAAATGTGATGGGAAGTTAATTTTTATTTTAAGCATACAGCTCGTACCTTTTCAATAACAGGCACCCCAGGCTGTAAAGGGCCCTGAACACCCATGACAACAGGCCTCACCGGAAACACTCCCACTTGTGTTGGCACCGGAGGTCCTTGTGGGACTCCTGCAGGCCATTGGGGAGCTATGAGTGGTTGCTGCTGAACCTGCTGTGGCTGTTGTTGAATTGCAAGCTGTTGATGTACTGTTCCCCCCAGCTGCAGCTGCTGTTGTATAAGTTGCATTTGTTGCCAGTATTGTAACATGCGTTGTTGGAGAGCTTGTCCTTGCGATTGGACAGTCATTATCTGACCTGCTAGTACAGGGTCTTGTCCTCCAGCCTGGTGCTGTTGTTGTTGCAACTGTTGGTACCGCTGCACAAGAACTTGTCTTTGCTGTTGCATTTGCAGAAACTCCTGCTGTGATACCAAATACTGCTGCTGCAGCAGCAACTGAGGATGAGGAGGTGGTACCGAATTTACTTGGCTGGTTACATTGTGTGGCTGAATAGGCGCTGGGTTGGTTTCAAGCAAGGGTTCAGGTTTACATTGGGGTTTCCCTTCTTGATGGGACACTTCTTTCATGTTTGCAGCTCCCTCCAATTTGCTGGAGTCAAGAGTTTGAGCAACTGCCACCTGCTCCCCTTGTGTTTCAATGCAAGCTTCTTTTTGTTCTCCAGAGCATCCCTCTGATTCATTTCCACCTTCACACTTATTTTCGTTCCCTGCATCAAAGCATATTTTATCTGAAGGGCTATCAAAATTTACATTGGCTGAGGCAAGGTCCTTTTCGACATCGTAGTCTTCACTGGCCTTCTTTTCCCCACAGGTAACACTAGGTAGCTCTTCCCTCTGAATGGCTGTGGTGTCATAATCGTCAGACCTTCCCGGTATGTGTGCACTAATATCTTCAGAGTTTAGGCTGCTAGTCTTCTCTTCATAGCTGTTTGTGGCTCTTGTACCATTAACCTCTCTACTTTCCTGTTCGCTCTTACTGTCTCTACTACAATGGTCTTTCTCGTAATTAGTGTTCTCTAGCTTCTCGCCTTCCACAGACTCAGGAGATGTCTCAGCAGTAATACCGGCAACCTGGTTTGTTCCACTTGCACTAACATCTTTTCCTTTGGTCACTTGCTTTTCATTTTCGGTTCCAGAGCCCTCGGATTTATCAGGGAGTTTTTCAGTTTCAGAGTTGGTATGACTTGACAACACAGTTGTGCCATTAAGCTTATCATCATCCACACTCCCACTGACTTCACCACTACTTTCCCCTGCATTAGCCTTTCCTGCAGCAGGACTCGCTCGAGGGGAGCTCCTATGAGAAGTTTCCTTTTTCTGCTGCTGCATCAACATTTGTTGCTGCAACTGCATCTTGTAAAGTTGCTGCTGTTGACCAATGAACTGTCCATCAAGTCCCCCGTATGGCATAATGGGCTTTAAACTTGGTTGGACCATAGAAGTTGGCTGTCTCAAGCCAAATCTCTGATGAGGAACTTCAATGAAAGGGCCTACAGCATGAGCACTTCCAACAGGGATCCCTTGTTGCTGTTGGAGCTCCTGCAAAACCTTATCATATTGAACAGATTGCTGGCCTATGTCTTGCCGCTGCGTCATTCTCCTTTGATATTCAGCGAGCAATTGCTGTTGAGTCATGTCTGGCATTTGGGGACGTATCTGTTGAGCAAACTGTTGCAACATTTGAGGGTTGGATGAATCCATTGTAAGTACACCTGGTGGAACAACTCCTTGACCACCTCCAGCAGCAAGTTGCTGTTGAATCCAAGCTTGGTGCATCAGTTGAGCTTGCATCTGCATCTGTTGCTGTTTTTGTGCTTGGCGCTGGCGATAGAGAAAACGAAGCCTTTCTTGATGTTCCTCTTCTGTGTCAATTTCAGGCAGATCTTTGGTGTTGATAGCTGTATTGAACCGTGCCCTTGCAAATCCTGGTTGGATAGCTGCATTCTGTTGCTGCTGTTGTTGTTGCTGCTGCTGTTGTTGCTGCTGCTGATGCTGCTGATGTTGAAACGCCTGTTGCTGCTGAAGCATCTGAAAAAACTGCTGCTGTTGGGCTCTTATGAGTTGGTCTCGTTGTTGTCGCTGAACCATGTCCTGCTGTTGTTGTGGCTGTTGCAGTTGACTATCCTGAGGTTGATTTGAAATGGGTTGGTTGGTAGGATGATTGGGTGGCACTTGGATAGGGATCTGAGGTGGAGGTTGAAATGGTGTCTGAGGCATTGCCACGTGTGTCGTTGTAGTACCATGTACCTGGTGAGGTTGAGGCGGTTGTGGGAATGTGACCATTGGTTGTGTCTGTACTTGAGAAGGTAACTGGCCCTGATGTAGCCATCCAGCACCCAGTTCGTATGGCTGTTGTGGAATAGTAGGTGGTTGCTGGGATGATGGCAATGGGGGTGGAGGTGGTGCCACCGGAGGTGCTGGAGCTGAGGAAGGAACTACAGATTGGGAAGGATGAAGGTCATGAGCAGCAGCCACCTGAGCTCGAACTTGTGACAGTTCCTCTTGCCAATGCATAACAGGAATTTGTTGTGGAGGTTGTTGCAATTCCATAGCTTGCTGCTGATGTTGCTCTGTGGGTTTCAATGCCACTTGCTGTGGCACTGAAAAGGGAACTGCCTGCAAGGAGTCAGTTACAGCTGGTTGGTGCACTATTTTTCCACTATCAGAACTCAATTGTTGACTTGGCATTGGTGCTTGAGATGAAGGCATTGCAGGCACATGAGCATGGGACCACTGTTGTCTCTCACTGTTAAAAATGACTTGCTCATTGTTACCAAAGTTATTCTGAGAATTCTGTTCCTGCCGGACCCCTTCTTGTAAAGGTCTTGTGTTTTGTTCAAGTAACAAGACTCTGCCTTGTGCATTTTCTATCCCCGATTGATCTTGTATTGTCTCAGGTTGCAAGTTGTCACAACTCCATATATTATGCTTAGAACCTTCATGTGCCTGTGAAACTTGAGTTAAACTCAGTGAGCCATTACTTTGTTTCTGGTCTTGAAGTTGACTGCAGCTCTGTGACTGTTCCCACATTGATTCCTCAGCAGGGTGCACTGTCTCGTTCCCATGTTCCTTCTCCCAAAGCGAAGGTCTCTGGAACTGGTGGTTAGCACCTGCCTGTGCAGAATGGATGTCACCAGCATTTGAGTTCGGGGGATGATGACTAGGATTCATGACACTTCCATCACTCTGCTTGTCTTCCAACAATCCATTGCCTTGTGTATCGTAAGGAGTCAAAAAGTCAAGAGACGGTTCATGTTGATATTGACTAGTAGATGCCAGGGCGTTTGCATTAGCTCTGGGTGCTGACGAAAACGAAGGGCCAGCAGGTAATACTTGTTCTTCTAGTCTACTTTCAGCTCCATCAGGGGGTGCCACGCTATTTTGAAAATTTGGCGAGTCGTGTGAGCCACTTCCAGATTTGTCAGAGGCCTTAGAAGCCTGCGCAGAAGCCCGTCTTCCACCTTTAGATAAACGCTTTTTCTTCTGTTCATCGGGTACTTTAGTTCCTTTTGCTTGCTGTTGTTTTTTGAGTTCCTGTCGAAGCAAGACATTTTCCTGCTGCTGTTGCTGTTGTTGACGCTGTTGCTCCAAAGCTCTTCTCTGCTGGAGGATTTTCCACTGCCGCTCTTGCTCCTGTTGAATGCGTAGTCTCTGCTTTCTTAATTCTTTCTCTCTCTCTTTTTCCTCTTTACTTTTTTTCCCTTTGTTACTCGTAGTTTTGCCTGCTGACTGATGACCTGCCATAGTTGCTGGAATCACAGGTCCAATTGGCGGGTGACCCATCACTTGGCTGAACGTGGGTGTGGTGGGTGTGGTCGGGGTCAAGGGGCCAGGAGTGCCAGGAGTCACAGGTGTAATCGACCTTGCAGGTGTGCTTGGTGTTAGGGGAACTGGCATAACACTATTTACTGGAAGCATTGGACTATCTGTGACTGGACAAAGAGTCGTAGACGTTGAACGCTGGTCATGCTGATGTAAGAGAGATTGACCTTGTGAAGATTGAGAGGGCAGCTGTAGAGCCTGTTGTTGTTGCTGTTGGTGCTGCAACATTTGTTGCTGTTGTTGTTCAAGTTGCTGCTGATGCAGTTGTTGCTGTTCTAACTGCTGGTGCTGCATTTGCTGTTGTTGTTCCTGTAACTGCAGCTCCTGCTGCTGTTGTTGTTGTTGCTGTTGCTGCTTTAATTGCAAGGCCTTCTGAGTCTCTAACTTTGCTTTCTCCTCCTTTTTTGCAATCAGCTGCGTAAAAAAGGAAAGAAATATAAAACAAAATTAATTATCTAGTTTATAATCACACTGCAGACAGAGGTGCTCAGCACGACAACTTAGCACCTTTTTTTTTTCAACACTATTCTTCTCAGCATTTTCATCACATTCACTCCAACTTCTACGTCCAGTTCTTATTTCTGCGTATGTATTCAAAATGGCATATCTTGAGGGTATTTTCTCAATCTTCTTTTAGAAAAGTTTAAACCCGTACTGGGGTGCACAATATAACGCCCTGATACCATTACACTTAGAAATGTTTACCTACCTTTTTCCCCTGATCTTTCAGTCGGACACGGTTATCCCTCGCCTTTAACTGCAAAATAGATTACTTTACATGAGACTCTAAATAAACGACAAGGCCTGCGTCTTTAGTGTGTAGTACGTCTTGTTCGATAAAATAAGGACGCTTTGATCAAAGTTACTACAGTTAAACCTGTGTTAACTCAAGGGGAATAACGCTAAATACAGGTTAGTGTGATGCTAGTGTGTAATATTTGTCCAAACAGTGCAATTCTAAGAAAGATAATTTGCAATAAGTTGACGACATTTCAACTCAAAGAACAAACAGTGACTGCAGGAGATAAACATGGACTAAATTTAACTTGAGAGATAATTCTTAATATCAATACAGGTGAAAGACAACGACAACAACAACAACAACAACAACAACAAAACAGAACGCGTTATAGAGATGACCGCTTAGCCCTTTCCACCCTAACATCAGCGTGCATATTCTCCATACTGTTCTCTATACATTTCCTTAGCTGCTGACAGGGAGAATTTGTTAAACAATCAAGAGCTTCTTTATTTGGTGATCATTTCTTTTATTCTTGTTACCTTGATGAGTGATTCAGGGGTGATAATGTAAGGAGAATTTAGATGCTGGTCACTCTTAGGGGCTAAAGAGTTGATACAGGGTTACAATAACAATATTGCCAACAACCAGAAGAGATGTCCACCAAAACATCGTCCTAGCGTTTCATGATAAAGAAACTTAACTTACCCTGTAAGGTTCCCTTTGCTCGACTGAAAGTTTTCGCCAAAGTCTTGCTATTGCTCTGTACCTGTTGGGCCAGTCTACAACAAATTGAAAAGAAAGGACTCATGTAATAACCACCACTTAAGAAACAAATTAACGGCCTTACTTGGGAGAGTATCCTACAATATCACAACCGCTGAGTTGATGACGCCTCCAATTACGATAAAATGACGCGCCACACACTATTTGATTAAAGACAACAACTAATTGAATTGATTGTCTGCAGCATCATCTGTTTTAGAATTTTGCTCGGTAAATCATGTTTTGTGTCAAATAAGGTTTCAACTATGTGAAAATCTAAATAACATGTGAAATTAGGTTAGAAGCGAATGAATGAAATGAGAATCCTGCATGAATCAAATATCTTCGAATATAACCATTTTAGAAAAAACACAGTAAGACTAAGCCAAAAACGGATCCACGTCAAAATTTGTATTTCTATCCACACTTCAAACCACACCCAAAGAAACGTGCATTTAGTTCACTCTTTTGGCCTTATTCACTAAGCGTTACTTACCTGGATACTCCTGCTTCAGGTTAATGTGTTCCAAGTTGGCATATAATACTGGCGATATTGTTGCAGTTGCCCCTAGCTTTTCGTCATCTTCCCATTTCTGCTGTTGTTTCATCGGGTCTACCCGTGGGCTGGGAGGTCTGCGTCTTTCCCTTGGTAAATCATCCAGATCAAATTCATTCCCTCTAGGGAATGCACTGTTGTGGTTGAAACCCAGTTGACCCTGTACAACGGAATTAGCGAAGCCATCGATGTGATTCTGAGGGCCCCGTTGATAAGCCGATCCTCCACTCTGAAAGTGTGTTGTGCCAGGATTGTAACCCTGATTGGCAGTGCCTTGGTTGTAAACACTAATTGGATGTTGGCTTGCTTGAAAACCGACACCATGACCTGACACAGAGTTAGCACTCTGTGGTGGAAACTGCTCCTGCACGTTGGCCACGTTGTTGTCCATTTCAGAATCCAGAAAGCTCAGCGGTACAATGTTCATTTCTCTTTCAATATCCATGAAGATGTCTTCCACTTCCTGCCCATCAACGTGAGGTAGGATGTCTCCCGTGTTGCAAAGAATATCAAGGTCGTTTCCCTGAGGGCGAGTCTGAGCTTGATTCCAAGAGGATGCTGCCGTAGGAATATGTGACTGGGGGGTGGGTGCCGAGGAAGGATGTTGAGAAGCTGGTTGTTGAAGTGCTATAAAAACAAAACAAAAACGAATAAAATTAAAAGTAAGATTCAGAACACAGCAAAGTTTGCCGTGAGAGCCAAATCTTCACCATTGGGGAAAACAATACAATCTTTCTTCATGACAAATGATACGAGTTTATGGTCCGCGGCTTAAAAGAAGAATCTTGCTGCACAAGAAGGTAAAACATTTAACCAGCCAAACAGTGAACACTTAAACTTTAATAAAAAGTGGACAGTGTCTGTAGCATACTAAGCTAACCTCTGTTTGTGGAATGCGAATCATTCTGAGTTCCTGGTAAGTCATCTGTCAGCATATCCAGTGAGCTGTACAGAGCGTCTGGATTGGGGACGTCTTCTGTCAGGTGGATGGCATGCGATGGAAATGGGTCTGCATTGGCAGATTGCTGCCAGCTAAGAAAATATACATCACATTCATTTACCACGAGAAGAGTTAAAGTTTATTTCAAGTCATTAATGGTAAAGGAAGGAAAATTATTCATCATCGTCATTATTATTATTATTAATCATTATTTTCACTACGTGAGATTCAACTTGATGAAAAAAAGATATCCTAGAATTGAATTGCTTTAAAAAGCGCTCTGAACAGTTTCCGAACCTTTTAACTTTTAACCTTTTGTTTATTGGAAATTTGGCCAACACATTGTATTCACCGGTGGAAGAAGTTGCTCAAACTTACAAGTTAAAAATTAAAGATTCTTACTTGTCATGAGCACTCAATGATCCTCTTGGAAAACCTGTTTGGTGAAGCGGCTGTGTTGAATGACCAGGATGCTGTCTCTCTTCCCCAGGCCCCATCTGAAATGGAACTTGTCCTGGACCATCAAACGTGGTCTGCTGCCTGTCGGGGGGGATTGAACCTTGTCTCACAGCGAAAGGGTCTTGGTTTGCTCTATCTTCATCCTCAGAAGGGGTTGACGGCGTCTTACCACCATGCTTTGATCGTTTCTCTCTACCAAGTGTGTCTAAAAGGTCTTTGCCAAAGAACGCCTCCTGAGATAAAAACAAAAACAAAATTGAAAAAGGCGTTGAAACATCAACCACAACACATCAAGTAATTTCCAGTATTGCAATCTACAATAAACAAGTTGATTAGAATTGCTTCGGTGATTATAGATATGCGCGCACTCCGATTGGACGAGGGTTGCGTCATATCTCGCTATAACCACCTTGTGCGAGGTGATTATAGCAGGGTCACTAAATTTCAAACTGGCGGCCTCGCGTTTTGTTAATGTTACGCAGGAAGTGATAAACGTGATAGAAGAAAATAGAATTCTGAAGAGCATAAAAGATGCTAAAAAATTGGCGTAACATATGTGAAGGTAAAGCTAAGTTGTTGTTGATGGAATTAAATAAATCTGTTAACCCTTTAACTCCCATGAGTGACCAAGACAGAATTTCTCCTTACAATATCAATACAATATCAACCAGATAAGTGATGAGAATAAAGAAAAAATCAATTTAGGAATAGTTAGTTGATTGGATACAAAATTCTCTGAACTAACATAAAAATTGTAAGTAAGGTAAGTAAGTAAAGAGAAGTACAAATTTGATCTGGGAGTTAAAGGGTTAAATTCTACTAGAAACTTGCTGCTGTCTCAATACAAGTAATCTAAACAATTGTAACAGAATTTTCAATTTACAAAACTATTTATAACAGAATTCGAAAGCACCTTAGCAATTATACAAAAAAAAAACACCTCACCTTGGGCTTTGTGAAGATTGTTGAATAATTATTTAACGATAATCACTTCACCTTTGGTGAATAATTTTTAGATACCTCAAAACTGGTAAAACCAATACAGAAAAGGATTTTACCTGTATCCACTTAGGATACGACTCCTGTAGAGCATTCTCATCACAGGCATCAGCCCAACTGGCGTTGCTTCCTTGATTTAGCGAAGGCTCCAACTCAGCGAATGGCGAAGGTTTGCTAACAAAGGATGGACTATTCATTCCACTCTGATAAGTCTGCTGCACATGCCAGCACAAAAAAAAACATGGTCAGTTTCAAGTGACATCATTTCCGTCTACGGCTCTGATAAGTTATTATACACTCTCCAAAAAGTATTTGTAAGTCTCAAACATTCAAAGTCAATTATCTTCTATCCACTTTATAACATAAATTTATATCAATCGCACTTTTCGAATTTTCTCATATCTGTTATGGCCAAACTTTTCACACAGTAAATTCTTCAGACCACTTTAATTTTACTTTTGTTAATGTTATGATAACGAACACAACTGAAGAGAAAATAAAAAATCACATGGGCCAGTAAGATTTGACCAAAAAAACAACTACCCATAATATATCAATTAGTATGAAAAAGATAAAGAAAGGAATTCCACGAGTCACAAGTGCAACTTGTCTCAAAAAGTGCAATAATTACCTGCGACAACTGATTTCCCAAATGATTCAAGTTGGAAGGCCCTCGTGCAGTTGGAGTAAATGTAGGCCCTTTCTTCTTCATATTTGCTCGAGCACCACGACCAGCAAATCTCCTCCCTCCTGAGCCACGACCACGCAGCACAAATCCACCAACTCCTGGGCGCCCCACATTAGATTGCCTGGGTCTACTGACTCTAGATGAAGCAAGAGGTGACTTGTGTCTAAGGCTCTCCATATCATCCACCATATCCATGCTACCATCTTCCACAACAGCCCTATTGAAAATGGCATCTTTGTCCTGCCAGTGGCCTGCAAAGCTGTTTCGTTTGACTGGACTAGTGGGCATACCAAACTTTTTGGGTTTCAGCTTGCTCTTGACCACTCGCCTCCTACTGCTTGGTGGTAACTTCAGCCTGTTCATATGCCGCACACCAGACTCTGTCAGTTCCACATTGTTCCCAGAAAAGGGTGCTGTCATCTGCACTTTGTTGAAGTGGTTTGATAGTTTCAGTTCTACCAAATTGTTGTTGACCCTCTGACAAGGATGTAAAGGCTTCCCATCTAGTTGAGGTTGTAGATCATCAGTTAGGGACTGAGGTCGATAATGGTGTAGAGCTGTAGCCCTTGGTGATGGGGGACCTGGTGAGAGACATACACCCCAGTTCTAGAAGAACATCTACATGGATATGGAGTGAAAGCTACTCTTCTGATAAAAACCCTCCCTTTTGTTGATCTCAAGTGAAATGGTACAGAGAATGTACGCTGTTTGGTTTCATTACTGAAAGAATATTGACAGCTTTGAAAAGCAAGGCTGCATGAAGAGGATTAATGTTGCAGTGACTTGAACATTTGTCACTGAAAAGGGCTGTTACATCCATTCTGTCAGTCCTTGGGGTTTTTAATCCTTCAAACTCCAAACAGTTCTTTTTCCAAACAAAACATGCAAAAGTCCTCAGTACAAGATATCCATAAAATTTACCACAGGGGAATACACATGTATAAGAATTTAAATCTTGATTTTGAATATAAGGCAACAACTCATCAATACATAGCCCCCTTAACGAACATGCCAAAAAATGTATATCAATTAAAGGATATTAAAGAGAAGTCAATTGGTAAAGAAAAGGAAACAAGACACAGTGCACTAGAGAACCAGATGGTGCAAGTGATAGGACAGAATGGATAAGGAACAGGTTTCCGTTAACACCCTCCAAATCAAGACTTGTGCAGTTTGCAAGAAACACAGAGAGAAAAACCAACTTCAGATTGAAGTTAAATGTGCCTTATTTAGGTCACCAAAGAGCTTAATTCTGGCGTCCTAGTGTGCTAAGTACAAGAGTCTGTTGGTACAGGTTTGCTTTTGTAGTAAATGCGTGAGAACAACATCAGGACTGTTTCATGCATTTCCAATAGAAATGATAAATGACACCACATCAAAATATTGGCTGTTCTTGAGATGCTTAAGTGTTCAAAGTTGTCTGATGCTCCAACAAAGTGTCAAGGAAAAACTTAAAGGGTTCAAGAGAAACGTTGAATGTTTTCAACTCCTTTTGCAAAGCCTTTGTGATGATTCTCTCCTCTTAGTGCATTGTGGAAGGAATTGTGGAGGGGTGCACAGAAATGAGGTTACTAACCCTGCAGAGTGTTAGATCCAGCAGAAGATAAGAAGGAGAGGAAAGGTTGGGAAGCAGATGAGGTTCTACAAGACATACCACTGACACCGACAAGTGCACGCTTGGTTTTCGGGCGACAATATAAACAATGATATCCATATTCTGCCGCTCTATCCAGTTCTTCTTCACTGACAAGACCATCACATGAACCATGAAGCCACCTGGTGGAAAAGAAGGAAACAATGTTCAACTCTGGTAACTCTGCCACAAATGCAACTTTCTCATGGGCATTCAAGTGAAAACTTAAATCGAACAGCAAATACTGATTAGTTCAGACAAAATAATTGCTTTCCTTATGCAGTTATTTTTCTAAGCTTTGCCTAGCAATTACCTTTTGGCTTGTGATTTACAAACTGACATCACACCAGAAAATCAATAAAAAGTGCCACCTCTTCCCCAAATAAAACACACTAAAAAGGGGGTAACACAACAGGATCACCAAAGGTGCTTCCTACTTGTAATATCAATGGCAAGACCATTTAATTCCTCAGTGTCATGTACCAACAATGATAATTATCTTCATGTACCTGTCACAATGTGCACACTGTATCATAAGGTCATTTGTGTTGTACTTGATTTTGCAGACAGGACAGATTGTTTTACTAGCACAAGGCCCACACTGAGTGTAATTTGACATCCACTGGCAACCAACTCCAGGTGTAGTAGCTGCACAATCGAAACAGGTCACACACCTGACAGAAAAAACAGTTCTGTAAGCTCTTTCAAAGTCAAGATTCTCCTGACCAATTAACATATCTTACTTTGTCAGCTTGTGTTGAGAATTTTTTGTTACACATCCATCAAAGTATTATTCCTGGTTCAAAATGCTCTTAATTCTATCTATTTGTCTACTTTAAAGCATATGACACTGGTAAGAACAAATGAATACCAGTTGGCAACTTGTGAGAGTGAAAAGGTCAACAGACCACAAAACCACAAAATTTCTTCCAGATTTGCCAGTAATTTGTCACAACTTTCTGCATATATTGTTGCAGCTGAAACTGACAAGTATGTTTCAAGTTGCTGAAAATCTACCATGTAGAACACGCATGATGAAAAAAACAACACACATCAATCAAATAGCAATACACACTTCTGCACATGGGATTGATATAAAATATTTCCTGCCTTATGATCTTTGTTCATACTCACCATTTACACTTCCATCCACCCTGAGGAACATGACCTAATGGTGGGTCAAGGCAATAAGTGTGATATGAGATATCACAGCTGTCACAGAGTAGAAGACGAGCCTCATCACTTCCTTTGCCACACCCCTCACAGAGGGTACAATCTAAGCAGCGCCAGCCTTTTGTCAAGATCACTTTGTTGACCTATGCAAGATCAAATGCTCGTCAATGTCTTAGAATGAACTCATCAAGATCTCAAATGTTTCACAAATTCTCCTTAGAATAGTATGGAGAACTTGAAAACTGATCTCCACAGTCCCATACCTTTACACCAACACAGTAGGGGTGGTAAGACTGACCACACTGTGAGCACATTATCAGTTGTCCTTCTGGACCCTTGCCAAAACTTCCACAGCACAAGCACATGTCCTGTTTTGTGGTGAATTCATCATTGGCTGAGAACAGCACAAGAGTAGTGTGCAAGCTCTCTGATTCTTCTTCCTTGCTGGTCTGATCTAATGAATTTGCTGCCTTTGGCTGGGGAAAAAGAGTAAATCAGTTACATGCAATAAAGGCTAACAAAACAATATTAAAGGAATCAAATTTGATCAGGCTTAACTACAGAGCATGAATTGTCTCTCGTTAAGGTCCACTTGAAATAGAGTCAGTGGCAACCCTTGCTTCATTGAAAACCTGTATTTTTAAAGGATAACTGACAAAAGATTTCCCCCACAAAATGATTTTTTTGAGGATTTTTTTTTGGTCTAAATGGAAACAGTAAACCAATTTCAGGAGACACCAGTGATAATTGCTTGTATGAGGAGACTGATAGAAACAAACACTGAAAACTTGAAGTAGCAAGATAGTACTAACTATGACTCTGGAAGTAAAGTTCATGATCTACAACCCTGTGCTCTACACATACCACTTGCACTGTAACACAAAATCCACCTGAATCACAGATTTACAACTTACAACATTCTCTTTGCCAGGGGATGTTTGTGGTGCTGCTTTGTGCTTAAGCTTATTGGGCGGACGACCTGGACCTGGTTTACCATGTTTCGATTTCTTCCTTGCAGGAGTTCCACCTGACTTAGCCTAAACAAGAAAAACAATTACTTGCTTCAAAAAACTACCACCCAGAATTTCACCTTGAATCTCCAAGCTGTACTACTGACTGTCCCCTTAGGGGAAACCAAAAACATGCACATGGGATCAAAACATTTTAAGATGTTAATGAAAAAAAATAAATAAATAAAAGCAAGTGTGGATAAGAATAGTACAGATAAAAAAAAAAAGGTATGAATGAAAAAGTTAAAAGGTGTTGGCTGTGTTTCACTAAGTCTTTCAAATTGCAATGTACAGTAGTTTCTTTCGGTTAACTAAATCTTCATGAAGAAGCAAATAAACAAACCCTGATTTTGCTTGACAACTTCCTCTTTCCTGATAGCTTTGGGGGGTGATAGTTTCTTGGAGAATAGTAGTTGGGCATAGGAGCCTTGGGAACAGTGAGCTGTCTGTCCATTAACTGGTTTGTTACTGAAAGTGACGGCAAGGAACACGGCTCTGTAAGACCAGCTGTGTGTGTCAATAAATCCAACTCATGATCTGGCTTCACAACAACTTCCATTTCCTCGTCCAGTGGTAACTTTTCACTTAGCTGCAACTTCTCAGGCTCAATGTTGTCAAGGTTTGGCATAGGAATGGTCTCTGTGTCATCAAGAACAGGGTCAAAATGACGCAGTGCACTAATATCATCCAGATGAGGACCCAAAAGAAGGTCATCATCTATGTTACAAGGGCTCATGCGGCCTGCTGCTATAGTTAGTGTACGCTTGTCTTCTTCTGGTGGACAGTCAAGATTAGCTATGTCCATATGGTTGTGCTGCTCAGTAAATGTTAGGTCTAGTCCATGATTCTTGTCCTAAGACAAAACAAACAGAGCTGTTTAGTTCATGTTACAATGCCAGCAATTAATCACTCTGATACATTGACAGAATCTATTGTTGAGATCGACAACCCGACCCATAGGTTCTCCTGTCTTCAAGACAGCAGGACTTGAATGGATGAAATTATTAACAAAGTATGATATTTAAAATTGATCTGGATTACTCTTGTCTACTGCCCTATTTTACAACCTAGTGTAATGTGCCTTATAATCTCAGCTTTACAAAAAAACAAACAAACAAACAAAAAAAAGAGAGAGAGAGAAGAAAGAAGAGCCATCCAGGGAATGAATTATTTATGACAGATATAAAATTTAAGAAAGGCAAAGAAGACAGTCATCTATGTAATTTTTGTTGAGGTCATCCATTTCTCCTTTTTGAAAACAATTTTCATGAAGTAAAAACAGATCTAAGAATGCCACTCACCAACAGCTGTAAGGATCCCTTCTTTGGCTTGCAGTTTGGACAGAAGTATGGAAACTCCTTGGCATTATACTTTTGATATTCTTCCTTATCAATGTTATCACAGCTTGCATGGATCCACTTCTCACAAGAGAGACACTGCACCATGGCAACATCAGTGAACTGTCGGTACGCTCTCCCACACAGAGGACAAAACAGACCTTTGTTACGTTGTTGATAGCAACTATCACACACTGAAAAATTATGGTGCCAGCGGGAAGTAGGCCCACCTCCAGGAGTATTTGAACCACAGTCTTCACATCGACGACAGGCCTATCAGAGAGAAGAAAGAGGAATTGAGAGGCAAATTTCTGAGAAAAAGCTGCATTTAAATCGGTTACACAGGACTTCCTGTGAAAATCCTCCCTGTCCAAACCCTAACACATTGCACTGCCATGTCCCTTAACTCAATTTACTTTGCTAGGTTGCTTTATTGGTTTCCCTTCATACCATATTTTTGAGTATAGACATTCCTTCCTCGGACACATTTGTCAGTGTTGTGTTGACAGGTGCCTTGGGATGGGCTATGTTTCAGTTGCCATGGTTACCTCTTTGGAACTGAGATTGCTACCCTCCTCTGTCACCATTGTCACAGCATCCCTCTTTAGTACTTACTCACAGTTTTAAGGGTTAAAGCAAACTTCAACCACTGCAAATGTCACTTCTGACAAGTTTTCTTTGCTAATTTGTACCACAAAAACTCTCACTTGGCAATAACAATTTACAAGGAAACCTGTTACAAGGAAATGCAACATGGCTCGATTCTTAGTTTGTTACAAGGCCATGCAGAAAATCTCAGTTGCTCACCACACACTTCCAACCAGTTTTGGGTATGGTGCTCATGGGAGGGTCCAGACAATATGTATGATATCCAGTGTCACATAAGTCACAAACCAACATTCTGTTGTCATCACCAGGTTGCCTGCAAATATCATATACAAATAAGCAGCGTAAAAAAATCATAGCACGAGACCTCAGATACAACAGGGGGATAGAGAAACTGATGGTTTCTTTGATGGTGTTACAATAATGAAGAGATAGCAGCAAGCCAAAGAACAGAGGCCAAATGAAATTAACAAAGTCACCCTGACCCCTAAGATTGACTAACATGTTATTTCTCCTCACACTATTCACAACCAAATCAAACATTAAGGTCATTAGAAGAATTAATTAAGGTACATGGGGTTAAAATCAAGACTTTTTTTTAACAAGAGAAGGTAGCAGGAGTAGGAAAGGAGACAAGAATATCATCCACATCTCATGAAAAATTTACTCCAATCTCCAATTCAAAATGTGCACCCAGTAACATGAAAGAATTGCCATAGAGACTCAAGGCGAGGAGAGGCAAAGGAGCAAGTGACAAGATTTAGAAAATTATCAACGATGGAATGTTGCCAATTTCACAAAAAAATTCTCAGAACTTAAGTCAAAGTTGAAACATGAATAGCAGACAGTGAATTTGTTGTAAAACTTTGGCACGTAACATGTTACAAGACACAAACTTCACCATTGAACAAGTAAAGAAAATCAGCCCACCTGCAACCCTGACAGACTTTACAATCTGGACACTGCCAGCCCATTCTTATTAGTGGAGTTAAATCGACAGAAGGATCGAGGCACCGGCCATGATAATGGCGACCACAACTTGTGCAGAATATCTGTTCTGAAAAATCCTTGGCATCCCCACAGAGGACACATTCAGCTTCACCCCCAGCTGCAAAACAAAACAAATCAAATAAAAATGAAGACAACTGTTACAGAGTTTCATCATGACCACTAAATAAAGCTGATTTATTACAATTCTTTACAGGGAAAAAGAATCCACTAAAATTTGCCTTACTCCCAAAGGGTTGCTCTATGGTTCAGTCACTGGTAACACCCAACCAGTACCCAAGAGACACCGATCTCAACCCCATCAACACCCAAGTTTTCTCAGGCTTCTCTTTCTGCAATTCCTTCGACTGCAGTTAACTTGTGAGAATCCTTTTGCAATTTAATCCTAATCAAATTTCTCCAGACTTTCTTGAGTAAATTTGTCTAGGTTGTCTTTTTTTACAACCTATGTTAAATAGGCCTGATCCTTGTTTTACTCAAAATACTGTGGAAAACAATCATTAAATAACTCCATCGACCTGCAATTGATATCAACTTTGTTGGCCACAAATATGATTCCAGACATTGTTTGATAAACTCTTTTGGCTTTTGCTTAGTTATTTTTCCATGGGTGAATGGGTGAATGGGCAAATAGCATTGTAGTCACATTAAATATACAAGGGTTCTACACATACTTACATTGCAAAATGCTGTTGGCATAATGTACACAAGAACATCCACACCCACACAATTTTTTGCTACCTTATTTCTCCTTTTATTCATGGAATTATCTGCCTGTTAGGTTAAAATTCACTTACCAAGATGTCCTGCATCTCCCAAATGATCTGGGCATAACATGGTCATAGATTTAATGTCCTGTTTGAGAAAAAAAATTTTTCTTATGAGAAAGACAAGAACATAAAAGGGAGGCACAGCAGGTTTCTATTTACATAAAAGTGAAAACATCCCAAAATGGATATCAGTAAAGACTTGAACCTGATCAACATGGAAATTCTCCTTCTACAGCTATGTCTGTTTGTTCCAATCAAAAACAGGGAAAGTATGATGATAAAAAGAACAGCATTACTTGTGCTTTGATCATATGGTGATAGTAATTCTTAGATGAAGAAATTTTGTTGGAAGCCATGATGCCAGAGAGTTGCCTTTAGTTTGTCACCTTCCCAAAAAAGAGTCAGGGGCTTTTAACTCTCATAGTACTGATAAAATAACATTCACTCACTCAGTGGTGATGGCTAAAAGAGAATTATGAATTTCTGAGAAAAGTGTCAGCAGTTGTTGCTAAGTGGTTGAGTACTTTAGTTAGACAAACCTGAAAAGAACCACTACTTGCTGCACAGGGATAGTGATAGGTCTTTCCACAGCGTGGGATTTGACAAACGACACTTGCACCAAACCGATTGCAATGATTACATCGCTGAAAAAGTAAAATCACAAAAATCAAATTAAAAATAATCACTGAACAGACTCCAAAACATAGTTCTAAGGGGAAAAAATGTCCTTGGAAATACCCCATTAATCTCTGGCAAAAATTAAAGATTTGTACAAATCAAAAACCTGTTGACAAAGAAGGGAAACAAAAGGAAAAAAATGGCTCACTGATTGTCAGAAACTTTGCCTATGTTGAACTTTGTGTTAACCCTTTAACTCCCAGAAGTGATTAACATAAAACTTTCCCCTACAATATCCTCACATTATTCAGCAAATAGGTAATGAGAATATTCAAACTTATCAGGCAGAAGCTGCCATCTTGATCTAGCACCAAGTTCTCACAACTAATTTACAAGGAAATGTGTAGCAGCTAGAGGGGAGAATTAACAATCAGATCTTGGAAGTTAAAGGGTTAATGAACAGCTATGGGTGTTTTTAGAAGACTTTTTTTTTAGAGAGAACTAGAAAAAATGTTGATGACATACCTCTGACATAGCTTTGACTACTGCTTTGTCAACATTGATTAAATCATAGGAATCTGTCTGGCTGACTCCCTCAGACCAAGCTGCACAGCAGTGATGGGCCCAGGTGTAACCATCTTCTTCAAAAACATCACTTAGCTCCTTCTCCTTTACTGTCCCATATGTGGTCTTGTCAATTGTAGTGTCATTGTTACCAGTTCTTAATGGCAAACCTACAACCACAATTCCCTTCCGCCTTCCACGTCCAGGTGGTCTGCCAGGCCCGCGGCGAGTTACTACAGGTGGAGGTTCCGGGTGATCTTCAGCAAATTGTCCCGTGTCGCAAGGATCTACATAAAACCGGTCTCTGAAAGGATCACAGCCACTGTTCTGTCTGTGTCTGTTTTGGAGCTTTTTGACTGGGTTGAATCCTGGAGTAGGTGCATACCTCTGGAGTTTGCCGTGGAACATACGTTTCTCCACACCACAATTGCAGAATGAGCATGTTTTGCTTTTAGCCCTGTTCGAATGAAAATGTTTGACAGAGTTTGGTACAGAAACAAATCTAGCAGCTGGAAGGGAGTAAAGTGTGCTAAGCCTTTTTCCAATCATTCTACAGTGGAGGTTGATCTTAATCTTTCTCTTTTTATAATTAAATCTCTTATTATTTCATGATGGTGGTGATGATTTCTCTGGATAAAAGAGAATAGTTTAAAAAAATAAAATGACTCAAACTTGAATTACTTATAAAATACACTTGGTCATAACATCACTGACTAAGTTCTGCAAGCTTTACTTTCTGTTGCTCATGGTACAAATTGTTGCTTTAGAAAAATTTACACAGCTTGAGAAAAGAGGCTTCTTTGGAAAACTCGCACCTCAAAACAAAACAAGTTTGTATAACTTGTTCAAGTCTTCCAAAACAGAAAAGTTTTAGCATTAAGCTGCACAAACAAACACCATCAGGCTCCCTTCACCCACGCATGTGAACACCCTTGAAAAAAATTGAAACACCTCAGCTTTTGCTGTTCAAAATGTCAGCTGTGTAAATAGTGACAGTTACACACCAACTAAAATTCTCCAAGCACTTTGAATTAGAGTTGGAAAATATCCTGGCAAGTAACAGAACACCTTTTATTGAATGTACATGCAGCTGTTTCTGCAATGAACATAAAAACTTCTTATGTACTGATCGCCATGTTCCATATATGGGTTTTTTGTTACTTCTCTCCAAACAAGTAAGGTCTTGCAATGAAACATAAACTGTGTGCACATGTATAAGTAAAAATCGAGGAGAAGGAATATAAAATATTGATTATTTTACTACTAATTTTCCAACAGAAATGAACAAATGATTAACGAAAGAGATATTTTTTTTGTTTGTTTGTTTGTTTTTTTGTTTTTTCTGTTTCATCACTCGCTCAAAGTAAGAGCTACTAAGAAGAAGAATGAAAAAGGAAGGAAAATCAATCCTTACAGTTCTTCATCTCGGTCCACTGTTGGTTGTTTTATAACTCCAAAGCCATCAGGTGTCAAATTATCATACAATGGCTGCCCATCCAGAGGCACAGAGTACGATGACATCTCCTGTAATGATCAGAAAAAATAACACCTCAGCTTGTGTAAATTCATTCAGGTTCTTCATTGCAAAATTTAGTTACAGGAGGAAGTGGGTAGAAAAGGAAGAATACTCCACATCTAGACAATAAATGACAAAGGTCGACAAAATTAGGCTGGAAAATTTTTTTATGGAAATCTCTAATGAATATACTGTTCATCAAACCCTTCAGCTTGCACAGTTAACAATCAACTACTCCCTACAATATCAATGCATTATTCTGCAAACAGGTGATCCAAATAGACAAAAAATTTCAATGAGAGATTTGCAGACAAATAGTACATGACGTTCCTAAACTAATTTACAATAAAATGCAGTGCACCTGAGAAGGAGAATTAAAGCACATTTCAGATCTCAGGAATAAGCAGGTGAAACATCCTTGGAGTTTACATAATCAAACTAAGTATATTGCATAATACAAGATATCTCACCATCATGTTCTCATGTTCCACACTTAGATTACTCTCAGTGCAAGAACCAATCGGTGAAGCTCTGATAGGAGATTTCAACTTACTGAAAATAGAACAGTTTGCAGAAGAAAAAAAAAACTTCAATAACTTATAACAAAACACAAAGGTCAAGTGATAAATTTATCGCATTAACACAATAATGAGGAGGACCCACTTGTCCAATGAGCAACATAAACCAATTTGGTCAAACTCTAAGTAATCAATCCCCAACAGAACCATCAATCAAGGTTTAATTTCATCAATTAACTAAAAATATCTTTAAACCAATTAAACATTCATTCAGGCATGACAATAACACACATCTGCATCAAGTTGTATGATTTCATGCGCAACATTTGACACTCCAAAAATTCAGTGGGAATCCCCTTTTTTCTGCACTCTTCCCTTGCGTTGTCAAACCATGGTGTTCAGTGAGTTAAATCATTTATTATAGAAGTAATTAACGGCCGTGATCTTGAACAAAAATATCACAGTAAATCCAATTAAATAATTGATTCTACATCTGGAAATTAAAAAAAAGAAATGTCTCAATCCAATTTAATTTCCGCTCTCAGAAGCACCACATCATCAAACAATATAAATTCTAAAAATAACTGTTAAGAATAGCTTTAGAAATCTAATATAAAACCCTTCATCCTTCCCCCAGAGGTCATAACACACAGATTAAAAGATTATTTTCATACTTCTAATCCTAAATACAAACAAAATAGTATAACATTTTTTTTGCATTTTCCAAAAAGTCACAAAGACAAGCAGCTAAAAGTGCATTGTAAGGGAAGAAAGTGTACATCAAAACAGAAAGATTCCTCCAGCTTTTTCATCTCCATTTTCTTATTGTATTATTTTGATTTATCCAGATTCATTGTGTGCTGTTTGGTTGAAATATGACACAAAAATCACCAAAAAAAAAAAAAGAGACAAGGGTTTTTGGCATCAAACCAACAAAATATTTTCATTCTTGCTATAAGCTGAACACAGAAATGTTTTATTCAAATTTCAAGTTCAGAAAACTACATTATTGCCTGATGTAATGTTTCACAAGCAAAGAGACTAAACCTCTATCAACCCTTAAACTCCCAAGGGTGATCAAGACAGAATTTCTCCTCACAATATCAAGACATTATCAAGCTGACAAGTGATGAGAATTAACAAAGATAACAATGGGGGGGTTATTAGTTGGTTTGATGCCAAATTCTCCAACATAACATCATAGTAATGATATAGTGGACAGTAAGGAGAATTACAATTGAGATCTTGAAAGTGAAAGGGTGAACATCAAATTAACAACAAGAAATTTAACATCAAAGAGAGTCGCAAACCTCTGAGCATTAACCCTTGTTTTCTTTGCAGGCTGTGGCTTGGGTCTGTTCCGCACCCTTGTTGATCTACTTTCTTCTCTCATACTCAAGATGTAACCTTCTTCAGAGTCTGGTGTCAATGGTGAACTTGGATATGGACTCAGGGAATGCTGAATGACCACAAAGAACTCACAACAATAAATATGCTGTATGCAACTTTAGTGCTTTATAAGCGGGTGAGAGCTGAAACTTGTCAAGCTGTGCTCTTTGCTTCATAGAAGTGTTCTGCTAGCTATTTAGGTTACATAATCAAACTGATTATGTAACTCAAGGTTTGCCTGATAATATCATAATAATCAACCATACAAATTGACATGTAATACTGTCTAAACCTTTCTACAACACCATCCTGTTTCAAAACCTAATGAAAGAAACATTTCAAATCTACAGTCTCAAACTTAACATTGTCCTCACTGAGGTGGTTACATGTAATACACAATTTCTCCTTAAAAGTTTGCTACATTATTTAATTGACAGGTCATAAAAAAGACAAAGTTATCAGTTGGAGCATATCATCTTGATATAACATCAAATTGTCCTAATTAGTTTACCAGAAGACAAATAGCTTCTAGAGGGGAGAATTCTAAGTCAAGATTTAAAACTTAAAACATAACAAAAAGCTGAAATGATAACTTCACCAAACCAATCAAAAAGGCTATCTTAAACAAACTTATCTGTAGTGACAAATTCAAATTCTTTTTGAAATCCCTTCTACCAAAGTTTCAATTGTGTTCTTTTAAAGTTACTCAAACCAACAGTTCTAGTAAAGCAATAACTGACACCAAATTGCCAATAACAATATTCATGATTAAAGCATGAACTGATTAAAAAATCAAATCATTCCTGATCAAGACCATAATTTCATGAATGATGTACTTTAATTTAGCAACACATCTTACAATGGTAAAAATTAACAGAAGACAAGGAGAATTCTGAATTTTTCATATGCCAAAATCTGTACATTATACACAAAAGTGATAATCCACAGTATAATACACAATATTTGTTATGTTGTGCACTCTCATTATATTTCCTTTGTTTCTCAATTTGCGTCACACTGTATTCAAAAGCATAATTCTCATAACACAACCACATATTGCACATGAAGAAATAAAAAGCTCTGTTCACAATACAGCAGAGAAGTTAAAAGGAATGCAGTAAGACAGTTACACACAGTTGATGTCCCTCAACATTCAAACTGTGACAACACAATTCAAACATCACACGAGAAAACTATCCTTCAGGCTGTTTAGGAAAACAGAAAACAAACAAACAACAACAAATCTCTGACTAATTCTACCTTTAAAACATTTGCAGTCATGGTTACAACAACATTAACCCTATTAATAGACACTTGTATTCCGAGACACAAAACAACAGGACACTCTAGACTTTTGGTTGAATGTAATTATGTCTACAAGTAATTTTTTGTGTCGAAAATAAGACACGTCAAGAATTCCTGAGAAATTACGGCCTCCTTTTAAACAAAAATTTCCTTGGCCTTGGTTCTGGCAAAGATTTTGTGTAAACAATATTTAGTGTTACCTCACCACATCTCAAATTATTCACAAATGCCAAACAGCACCATTAATAGTTAAGAACTTGATGTCACGTCCACATGTTAATAACTCAAATAACAGAGTATTCTGTTTGCATAGCAATTTAATCAGTAGCCAAACACAAAATACTAATAAAAATTTGCCATTTTGCTGATGAGAATTTAAATAGGCTGCTAATCATGAACCCAATACACTTGCACACTATAACACAATTGACAGTCAAAACACTCTTTACAACTTGCACCCCATTCTATTCTGAAAATGGATCTAAACCTTTCAAGAGTAATTTGAGTACAAAAGTAACACATCAACCATGACAAATTGTGTATGTCATGATCACATTCACCTTTCTGCCATCATAAGAGACACTTCTCAAAAAGTCAGTCTGATAGAATTTACTGGCATCTGATACAGGATGAAATTTTCAATAAATAAGGCCTACAAAACCCATTTACACTGTATTTAAGGAAATGAAATTACTTAAGTCATCAAAACTTTCTGATTGACACAAGAAAATGTTTTTAAATGCTTCCTGCTATAGATTTCCTATTTCCCTTTACCTTAAAACTATAAACATTCTTCTCGACAGGACAGGAAACAAACCAAATCCAAAGTTGCCAAGATAGTCTACTTACAAACTAATTAACCAGTAGAAAACTAAAAATAGTATTAGACACTTTTTCAATTTTAAGAATAAAACAAATAGTAGTTGAAGATTCTGAAAATTCTTAGTTCAAGAATTAGAGAGATGTTGTCAAAACTGCAGGCACTGAAAGCCAATGCTAGATTATGGTAAACAAAATATTTCCATAGTACCAGTAATCTGTATAGACTAATTCACGAAAATAGTAGTCTATGCCCTTAAGCTAAAGAAGGTGAAAGTCATAATTATTGGTAACAATTTGATGGGAGTGATATTTTAACTTGTAAAGTGAGGGCTTGAAAAAAATTACTTCTTGATAACCTTGAATATTTTGATATAACAAGGATAAATTCTGCAAATAGTACAGAAGACAGAACAAATGTTGAACAAAAATCTTAACATAACAGATTGCATCGCTTAGTGGTTGATTTTCAGTTAGAAAGCAAGGCTCTAATGACTATGTTCCCACTGAAGGTCACAATAAAACTAAATTTAGTACACCCTTCTCTTGCTGTTCACTTAGGGTTGTCTAATAATTTTTTTCCTTTACAAAACTAACAGAGACTTGTTGTTATTCGCACAGGAAGCCAAGCTCAAAAGTTTGGATTCAAACAATAGATCCATTAAGGAGAAATGCAAGTTTTGATAAAATCTTGTGAGTGAACGTGTCGGAATAAGAAAGCAGAGATTTAACCCTGTAACCTTCTTTTCAGACTAAAATAGTTTAGCTACTTACCACAGTCTCTGTAATTCTTGGTCTACCTGGACCTCGTTTTGTTCTTCCTGCGATAAAGGAAGAAAATCGAATCCAATTAGAAGTGAGATAAAAAACAAGGTATACGCACAGATAGGAAATGTTGCTTGCAACACGCGTTATGATCTTTACACTAATAACGATACTAAGCTGTATGAGACGTAGTCTGACTAAAAACAGATCAAGCGTTCTCGAAGGAAATAAGTTTTCTCAGCGCAGAGCGTCCATGACTTTGGTCGCTCAGCTGATAGCTTGCATCAATGATCGGTAGTTACTACGAACAAACTTAATTCAAATGAAGCCATGGCGATTTAAACTTTCAGTAGAAACAGTCATTGGCCTGACCGGGCGAAACGCGAGTCTTCCATTGTCACATTAAGTGAAATTGGCATCAAATCGCAACGTTGTCGATTTCAACCATGCACTAATTCTACGGGGAACTCCAGAAGAACAACAAATGAACATTCATAAATAATACAAAATCGCGAAGAACGCAGATGTTTCACCCGGTAAAAGGATGAAGAACAATTTAACAGAAGCGTTTCTTTGTGCACTGAAAAGACGCGAGATAGTAGGTGCCTAAAACGGACCAAGATCTTAAGTAAAATAGAAAAAGCGGATTTTGAGCGAGTCATCTTTTCGATTTTTTAACCGTCCGTTCCTCCGCCATCTTATGTCATTGGCAGTAATTATTCATATCGCTAGAACAGTAGTTCGTGCCTTTGTTCGCATTTTTAGATTCACTAGTTTCTCGTGTTTTCAATCTGCCGAAGCTCTTTACCTAAAGTACTTGGCGTTAATGTTTTTCCTTCCATACATATTGCAATCGCTTTATTCCAAAACCGTGTGTTACGCCCATCGAATAAAAAATCAACTGTTATTGGCAACATAACCCATGAATGGCCGCGGTTGTGTTTAAAGGAAAGGATAGCGAAGCGACAATAGGTTGGCGAATTTTAAGGTACTCCCTGGAAGTTTCTGATCTCCTCGCTCAACAGAGATAGCCCAAATTGGTTTCCATGTCTCATATTTTCAACATTTCCGAGATTTTAAAAATAATTTTGAACTTTTCAATTGGAACGCGCCACAATCTTTGGACTTCATCACAAAATGGCGTCCTCGAGACTGATTGATACATACATAAACCATGCAAAGGAAAATTTTAAGCAGCGTCGTAGCTTGGTAAATGCCCACTGGATTGATTCACAATAGAAGCTGTATGGGAACCCAAAGAAACCATTACTGAAATGTGAACGTAAGCTAGCGAACAACCACTGAAGTTTGCGCGGATTTACAGTACAGCACGTCATCGTATGCAAGTCTCAAACAAAACAAATTTCAACTCGCCTGACATGGCTTTTTGATTCAGGTCCTGCACACAGTGTTGTAATTCCTAGAGTTTTCTCCCCTTGTTTCAATCCAACGCAATCCACCACACTCCCCAGAACAGATATGCTCCGCCTTTGCAACTCAGTAACGCGTCAGGTCGAACGCAGTCAAGAAGCTAGAAACGCAAACCGACGATTGAATTCATAGCACTTTTCCAATTCCTAACAGCGATCACGACGCCGCGAACGATTTTCCCTTAAAGTATATAGATTCCTCTCAAAGGCAAAACAATTTAGTTTCTTCATGCAAGCGTTGAAGAGTCTCCAAGAAGGGGAATTTCACTAGCCTCTGAATTTCGTAGCATGCCGCCATGCATGCTTGATATGCAATAGCCTTGCGCGAACAACACGACCCCCCATAAGGTAGCCACGCCAATCAAATCAGCCCGCTCCTCCTCCATTGGCGAACGCTGATTGGCCAGTGGTAAGTGACGCGGCGGCAAAGTGAAAGAATTTTCGTCAGCTGATTGAATTTTTATCGCGCCACGAAGTTTGCCAGGCGTTCTAAATAACGCCTGTTTGTCACGAAACCGAACGATTTTGAAATAAGTGGGTGTTTTAAATAAGGGAACTTATTAATCATTTAAACTGCTAATGAACAACTTTTGTGTTAAGCGAAAATATCAAAAACGAAGAATCGTGAAAAATGAAAATTTAATCCACGGGTATTTACAAAAAGTTTTTTTGGCGTTTAAGGTCTCCCGAAGAATCAAATGGATTACGAGTCTTGACATTGGTAATGTATAATACATTTGGGTTTTTCTCCTTTTTTTTAAATTCTCTATTGAGCAATCAGACTGCGGGGGGGAATGTTGAATTATGCTATAGTTTAGGGCTAATAAATACGGCAGATCCTCAATAGATTGATGTTAGTACAAATTCGAAAAAAAGCTCAAGATTAACGTTTTTGCGATACAATAATGAAAACAAAAATATCAGAATGTAAAAAAATCGTCAATAAAAATAAAAATCGATTCTTGAATATACTAAGAAATAATGATGGTAATCAGCTCCTTAAAATGAGCTAAAATCGTTTGTTTAATATAACAAAAAAACTTCCGGTAACGATGATCTGTTTCTTGCGCGATAATGTTATCTTTGGGATCTATCACGAGACCGCCATGATATATTTCGTGACCTCCGTGAACCGTGACCGAAAACGTGTTTTGACTTTTCCCATCTAAATAGGTAACACGCATCAAGACCGTGTCACATAGCAGCGGAAGGAAGCAATTGCGAAATAATTGGACATCGATATGACCAAAGAAGACAATATCGATTGATATTTTAGGCAATGTCCACCGTAGCATGGCTAGAATGTCATATTTTTCAATTTCCCTTAAGCGCTGTTTCGTGTTATCAAACTTTATTAAAGATCTACGTGAACTTGTCTGATCCGTCTTTAGAATTTTATATCCTTTGTTATTGTGCTTGACGCAATCATTAAAATGCGTGTTTTAGAACTAATTACCAATATCACTATGGTTAAAAGAGCTATTCAAATACTGAACACTTATTAGCAATCGTGCAATGATCATTTCCTCTCTTTTCCTTTTGTTTGAAGATGTTGTAAGGTCTAGGGGCCAATGTAAAGTCTGGATCAGCAGAGTGGAGAAAAAAGGGGAACTAAAGTAAAGAAAGCCTCTGTTCTGAACCATTAACTGTCGAAATGAGGTAAGAAAATTCTACGTTTAACTTAGATCGTTCTATTATTAGCATAAAACGGCCTAAAAATACTAATAAAAATATTATAGCCTATGGCTAACTTGACTCCTGAGTGGTCGTCCTCTGTATCTGCTTAAATCGATATGGAAGGGAAAGCCATGGAAATTGAAACATAACATGTTTTCTTTTATTTCAAGGGAACATGAAAGAAGTGAAAAGCCTTGTTGGCGGGAGATGGTAGCGAATATTGCTAAGTTGGATTGGAATAATTTATCGCTAATGGAGGAACAACCTCAAGGATTTTAACTCCCTAATTGGATTGCTTGCTACAAAATGTAACGATTTTGTACTGGATGGCAGCATCTGAGAAGCAAACTCTAAAAAGGGGTCATACGGTTTCTTTAGCAGACGGCCATGGACTGATGAACTGATGAGAGATTGCTTGAACTTACCGACTGACAACTGATTAACTTAGAGATACGATCGACCGACTGAAAAAGTAACCGTTTAATTTGCCTACTATTCAACCGACTAACTGACTGACTTCCTGGTACGTTGAATAAATGAATGACCAACTTATTGCCTGGTAATTGAATGACTGACTGCACGGCCCACTGACAAACAGACTAACCGACTGAACAATCGATCGAAAATTGACTAAATCCACTATATATAGACTTTAAGACTCCTTGACAGAGAGCAGTGAAACTTTCACTTTACAAAAGTAACCAATTAGAGAATCCGCGTGTTTTCCTTTTTCTTGTTTTTTGACCGAGTATAATTTCAGTTGGTTGTGGCGCCGATTTCGATTCAAGATGAGCTGGGTTCTTTTTCGGTGCTATATGAAAAGAAATAAAATTTTTCAAAGCACGGCCGCTTCCTCAATCTCGAGAAAAAAATTCGCGCCAAATCGTAAACTTGCAATCCGGGGAATACCCCTCAGGAAATACGTCATTTTAAACAACCGATAATATCACCTTTAACTTCATACTTACGACAATCCCAATGATCTATTTATAGACCTGGGCGTGGGTTCTGCAATGTTTGACATATAACACATTTTCCATAATTTATGCAGAATTGCTAATTTTCTCGCGAAGGAGATACAACAATTTTTTTAACAACCAGAGCTGAGACTTCGCAGTCCAGGAATGGATCAGACCATCGTGGTATAATCATTATTGTAATTAGTCTGCCTTAATTAACGTTCTTTTTTCTTTAGAAATTATCCTTCGATGTTCTCGGTCCCATTCCTCTCACGTCTATACCGCTCATTTCCCAGCTCTGCCGCTCGAAATTCCCATTAAAATCGAAAAACTTAGCCCGCGAGTATTGGCTACTATACTTCTTTTACTGCTCTCTTCCTCCTACCATCGTACGCAACAACGCGGAGGAAAAGCAAACACGTGATTGATTTTTGAACCCGATGGGGCTGGGTCGAGACTGCATCCGCGAAAAACGCTCTGTCTCGTGCCAATCTTTTCTCTCAAAACAATTTTGAAACAGTTCGAGGGAAAAAAAAATAACAAGGAAACATTCAGCGATCTGACCAGCTATTCAGACTAACAAACGAAAAAAATAAAAAAACGAGACGAGACTCGAAATTTAACACCGTTAACTGGAATTTAACCTTTCACGAACCATATCAATTTTCATCTGCTCACCCTATCAGCTTCGGGTGATAGAGGTGTAATCGCTTTCGTCAAAGACCACCCAGATGATAGTCTCGTTCTTGGCTTGTGTTGACGCAGTTACGGTCATAAGAGGTCTGAGGGATAACAAAAAGAAACTCTAAGAATGATAGGGGACTTGATTGTCTACCAAATGTGTCAGAGATATCTGTCGTCGCTTTTCTTTGAGTCCGGAGAGTGTATGATATAATAACTAAAAGTTTATCCTCACTGAGGGACAGAGGTCTTTTAAAAACTAATCCTTCCCTTCCCCTACCCCCTAACAACAACGGAATTTTGCCATTATGTGACGTATAATCTTTTAACCTTTTCAGTTAAACTACGAACCATGGAGTTCTTTTTTCCCGTTCATCCTGTGAGCTTATAAAAATTTCGTCTACATTGCCAAGATTACCGTCGTATTCTTAGCCTCTATTAACACAGTAAAGGTCACAATAGGATTGAGTGATAACACAAAGAAACCCTGAGAATGATGGGTGGGGTGGAGGGGGGGGGGTGGGGCAATCCGAACATACAAACATTGTCGCAAAGAAATCTCTGACGTTGTCAGATGCAACAGACTATTATCAATATCAGTATCTGGGCAACTGCCCACCTACCCCTCCCCTAACCCAACATTAACCCTAACTTGTCATCAATTGACTGTTGTCAGGTTAGGGGAGGGGTAGGTGGGCAGTTGCCTAGATACTGATATTGATCCGACTATTTTATGCTCTCATGTAGCTTAATCTTAGACAGTTCATCGATCATCCATGCTTAGGGACATGATTCGTCTGACACCCGTCCCCTTCCCCCGTTAAAAATGCTGGACGATAAAGTGTTTGAAACTTCCTTTAATTTCATAAAGATGACACATAAATGTTTCCCATACACACTTACGAACTGAGGGCCCCACGTAATGTTCACAAATTGCAGTTAGAAGTGATGCATAGTATCAAAGCGAAAACTTCCATAGCGTGACAAGAAAACAATGGAAGTTTTTCGGTTCCCTAAATTGTTAACAAACGTTATATAATAAAGAGGGCAACATAATGGAAACAGTAAATTTCTGATCTGCACAGAAACCAATATTTTATTGTCCTAATCATTCGATATTGAATGAATACCAAATTCATCCGTTTTGAAGAGGATTAACCTTATAATGCCTGCGCCTGAGGGTGACTGATTTCTAATTTCTCTGTTCAGTATCTTACTTGAATCAAATGCGAAGGTCACGAGGTAAAGGAAATTATCACCGTTTTAAAAAGCTCGCTTAAATAAATTTTCACTGTCAGTATCAAAGGAAATTTAAAGAGAAAAGTGCGGAGAACATGATTACTAAAGTAAGGGCGTGAAGGATTAATGTGTTTTAGACTGTTTACACAACGCTCGGCAAGTGTCTCATTCATGACACGCATGACTGCTCTAATTGCGACACACCCGTGCGTCAATGAATCTGCCCGCCCTGATCTGTATGTAGTTGTAAAGGGGATTCCCTTGGTCTGTGCGTTGTCAGATTGGATAGTGGCACTTTGAAGGTGAAGCAAGGCAAGTGCCATCATTTTCAGAGTATATGTCACGCCCTTTCGCACTTTCTAATGTTTCCCCTCTGGTTGCAAAATCTTGAAAGCTGATTCTATTATTTTCATAGCATTGTCAGTTTACTCAAACAATCTATACCCACTCGTTTCCAACGGTAAAAGCTATCTTAATTCACGTGCGACATAGCACGCTGAGATCAGTAACGTTCATTACCGCTTTTGTTCCGTTGATATTCTATATTGGGCGCTATGCCACTACTGTTTAGCTAGAGAGAACAACTCGATAATATTATTCAATTAAACCGTGCTTCGTCTGGATTTTTTTTTATCTCAATCCGTACAACCAATCAGTAGAAGGTCTACACATATTACTAACAGGTGGAGTTGCAATTTTTAAAAACCATTTTATCACTGGTGCAGCGAGGGAAAACG